AAAATGAAAAAAAGATTTCTGGGAATTAGATGAAGGAAAAATGTGATGGAAACGGCTTCATGTGCAGCCTAGGAAGCGACTTTTACTCCAGTTGGTAAGGATGTGCCGTTTGATTCAGACAAGATAACTGCACATTGTTCAACCGAATGGAAATGTAAAGGGCGCTGGTCGACCTATGAGGACGACTGGCAGCACGGATCTCCTAACCGCCGCGTTTCGTCGAGGAGCTGGACAGGTGTGACATGGTTCTTCCCAAAGGAGCCAGTTGAGACCAAAATCGCTAAAGTTTCTGCAATGCAAGTGCTGACTGAATCGGACGCTCTGAAAAGGGGTGATAATGCCGTGGTTTCTATCACTACGGACCTCCAAGAAGAGATTACCCAACCAAACACTTGAGAAGCCGTAAATGGACTTGTGCATAGTGCTGGTCAACACATGCCCTTGAATCCTAAATCAAAATCAAAACGCGGTACCAAGTGATGTTTGAGTTTTGCTGTAGCCCCGACTCAATGATGGGGAAATTCCATGAGGAATTAGGCATTGGTCACATCAGGCTCGTTGCTGAGAACTCTGATATGTCTGACCGTCAGCAAGGACAATCACTGCTAAAAATGCTGGAAAAGTTTCCTGGCGCTGACCTGTGGGGCTCATTGCCATGCAGCCCGTGGTCAAAATGGGCAGATGTGTGCGCTTGTACGGTGAAAGCTACAAAAAGAAATTGCACAAGAAAAACAGCGCAAAAGCCTTAGGATAGAGGAAAACTACTTGGCAGCCGCTGAAGAAGTGCTTGCTCAAGGGGGCCATGTTGCCTTCGAGTGGCCAAAGAACTGTGCCGGTTGGTCGATACCGAAATTCATCAAGTTTATCAAAAGACATAACTTATTTGAAGCGACCTTCGACGGGTGTGGTTTTGGGTTGGTAGATTCCGAAGGAAAGCCACATCGCAAACCGTGGAGAGTGGTGACTTCTTCTTGGAGGCTTGCCAAGAACTGCCGACCTATAAGGTCACTTATAATAAGCGCAACAAGAGTTATACTGTGTGTAAGTGGAGTTGTAAGTACCGTAAGTAGGCTCTCTGCCACGTGTAGATAAGTAGGAGATATAACCAAGTTACGGAACTTAACACATTTTAGGGAAATAATTCACGCTTTTAGCAGTACTTAGGATCTACTTAGCTTTTTGTGAAAAAACAAGGTTGGCGCGCTTGCCCTAGATTTTCAGGTGGCAAAACGTTGTGTCTCACGCAAACGCCATGTTGCAGTACACACGCATCCTCTGAAATCGAACTCTTCAATATTAGATTCAATGATACCGCAGTGGCTAACCCCGCTACGAATGCAATAAGCCTCTTCTATGCAAATTGCAAGGTCAGATGGAGCAAAATGGCTATGCTTTTTCGGTCGATCTAGATGTCGGCGTCGGCGGTTGTCGGCGGGGCGTCACGAGGCTCCACAGGGAAGGTGCTTGTCGGCGGTTGTAAGCGGGAAAAACAAGCTCAACGAGCCCAAGACAATTGTCGGCGATGTCGGCGGGCCCCTATTCTTTGTATTTCTTTACTGCGGTTTTGCGGGTAGGCAGATCGGCGGGGTGGGATCATACAATTCGGGTCCTGTGTCCCAATGTCGGCGGGATGCCGGCGGGGTCGCGAACGCGATGTATTTCGGGTCACTTTTTGATACGGCCTGAGGTTCCATGCAGCCATCTTAATATATCTATATATATATATGTATGTATACATATATATATATATATATATCTATATGCAAACCGCGTGGACAGCTCGTTCGCGCATGCGTGAAAACTAATGAAAAGTGTAAAGCCCGCTGTTTTTCCGTGGCTGTGGCGCTGTTATTTTCTGAGCTTCGCTCTCGCTCGCCATGGGCAGCGCCAAAACCAAATCAATTTCTGCGCTTTTCCCGGTTTTTTTCGAAAAACACGAGAAGTGTGTTTTCAGCCAGGTTGCACTTACTTTCTACTTGTAAGTAACTTATAGAACTACTTATAAATGCGCCGCGTAAGTACCCCGTAACTTAGTCCCGTAAGCGGACTTATAAGTATGGGGGACACACAGAACCTGAATGCGCACAAGTGCAAACATCCACATGATTTTGTCCATAGCCAAGTTGCTGGCAACAAAACAGCACGAACGGCATACTACAGAAGCCATGGTCAGGTGCATCGCCACAAGCTTGTATCCGTCCGTGACTGACAAGGACGTTCCTGCAATGCCCACTTGTGCTTTCAAGCAGCATGATCACGTGCCAAGTGATCAACCTGAGCCTGAACTCGAGAGCACAGTGCTTGCGGGCGTGCATCACTTGATAGACAGGCGAGATTGGCATAAGCATGTGGGTTATCAGCAAGCCATTGACAAAGAGGCAATCGGTTTAATAGCGAACCAGACTTGGTCCTACGATGAAGTTGTTCCAAGGGATGTTTTGCTTGCCAGAAAAGAACCTCTAAACATTGGCAGACTTATGACCATTCTTTCAATCAAGCACTTCGAAAACCCGGAGCACGGCTCAAAGCCAGAATTGTATTTCGAGGCGATGACACGCGGGATGAATCCAATAACCTAGCGGTCCTGCAGGACCTCAAGGTAAACCCCACAGGTTTGACTGGGATAAATGTAAGTTTGTCTTACGGATCTTGTGAAGGGAATGTTTCTCAAATTTTGCAGGCCACCAAAGTTCTACATGGGTGGAGTTGTTGATGGAACTAACGCCTAAGGAGTTCCAACATATAAAACGGCCTTGTGTCAGGTTACGCCGTAGCCTATATGGGCATCCAGAAGCCGGTTTCAACTGGGATGCTAAACTCAAGCAAGTGATGGCATCACCAGGAGGTCAACACCTTGACAATATCTTTCAGTCTTCGTATTGGTTTAAAAAAGAACGCCTTTTAATGACTTTGTATGTCGACGACATGATTTTGTCAGGCCCTCGCCTGGAAGTGGAACGTCTCTGGACCAAAATTGAGGAACACCTTCCTTGAAATAGATCCACCAACTGCAGTGGATCGCATTCTCGGCCGAAAGCATGTCTATTACCACTCTGAGGGAAAAACCACCATCTTTTATGACATGGTAGATGTCTGTCGGTCGTCACGCAGTCTATACGTGGAGCTTTCACAGAGAGTTCTCAAAGAAGCCTCCACTCCTTTTGTGCCAGACGGTGCGATTGTGAACGCACATTGGGACGAGAAGGGTGCTCTAAGTACATCAGCCAGTCGGGTGCTCATGAATTTTTTGTGGTGTGCCAGGTTGGCTAGGCCGAATCTGATCAAACCAATCAACGGCCTAACCAGGAAAGTGTCGTGTTGGAGCTTGGCCGGCGACAAGATGTGTTGCTTGTGTACGACTCCACATCTCTCGTTGAAGAGTTGGATAGCTGACCCTTTCGAGTCGCTGAGTATAAACTTGTACACTGATGCGGACCATGAATCAGAGACTGAGCATGCCAAGTCGACGAGCGGAATGGTTCTGGTTCTTCAAGGACCGAACTCATTCTTCCCATTGACTCAATGCCATTGACATGGGCAAGCCGCAGACAAACCGCATCGTCACGATCCACAACAGAAGCCGAAATTATCTCTTTGGACGCCGTCATATTCGGTGAAGCGTTGCCCGTTCAAGAGCTGTGCGAAATACTTGCTGGTACACCGGTTGACTTGATCTGCCACCAAGACAATTCAGCGGTCATAGCAATCGCCCACTCAGGGTATTCTCCGAAGCTCAGGCACTTGTCAAAATCTCACAAGATAGACTTAGGTTCCTTGTATGAAGTTTTGCAAGATGATCGTGTCCAGCTGAGGTACATAGCCACTGATAAGCAACTAGCTGATATCTTCACTAAGGCCCTTGCACCAGCGAAATGGCCGGCTGCCGTGAACTTGCTGTATATGCAATACCTTGCTTCCCAGCACGCAGGAAGGGGGAGTTGAATAATACTGAGCATTATGCATGTTTGACAGGGTGTGATGCCGATGATGCACCACCACTTCCAAGACATGTTTGGTCAGTAACCTTCATGTGGCATGCTTAGCTGAGAAGGGACTCCTTGAGTGTAGTTTGCTAGAAGGAATCGTCATGTATACGGTAGACGTTGTCTGTCCACCGTTTCACATATTCAGGAACCCATGGTCAAGCAAAGCTTCCATTCATGAGGTTCATTCCTTTTGCAACCGTGACAGTTTGCAGTTGTCATGTGTTTCAGTTCTCCAAAGGTTCCAAAAACGCATCCGCGTTTGGCTCAAGCTGCGCGAGGGTGAAAAGGAGTGAGTCCGCAATTTACTTGACGACGTGCAGTATTCTTTATCTTTTGGTGGCGACATTACTTGGATCAGGATTGAGATTGCTTGAAATCAAACACAGCGAGCTGTTCTTATCTTGCTTCAACTGGACCACCATCGACAAGGCAATGTTCAGGTGCATTCTCTGTAAGAACCCCTGTTTGACCGACGACAAGCTGGTCGATCGTTTGCACGACCTTTCCCGCTCCGCTGACCTTCCGAAAGCTCTGGAAAATTCTTGGCGGAGATCGATCCACCACTGACTCAGTTGTTCAAAGCGAATCGACCGGATCTGACCTTTTGGTTTGACCATTTTGGCAACTACATTTAGTCATGGCCCCAAAAGGTGATCACCTTTTAGTCCCAGGTCCTTTGGGCAACTGAGCTGAGGCATGTGAAAGGAAAGGGCGCAAATTGGATCCCCTCAACTCTTGGGCAACGTTGGCCTTGCCATGTAGGCACACTGAGAATGCTTTGCCAGGCCAGTAAGTTCTCCATCACGACTTACTCAAGGAAGTACTTCAGATCAGTAGCCCTCAGGCCTCAAACTTACGCATCAAGCAAAAATCCATCGTTTGTATGGGGCAAACAGTTAAAAAGGGACAAGCAAATGCACATGGTCATCCGGTATCTGGTGGAGAGAACTTGCTTTAGGAGCAAAATGTTCAATGTCGCTGATCGTTGGGCGCAGCGTCCCCGGCTGTCGCTAGGAGTCCGCTTCCAGACGGCTGCCCAAGCGCCGCTGAGCGCGATTTTTCGAGTTGGAATGACCCCGAAGTGCGGCTTCTGCCAAGGGAGTCGCCAAGTTCATGGGAGGGTACCCTTGTTTACTTTGGCATCCGTTTCCCTGGGAGGTGAAACCAGCTCAGTCTTGGGTCCCCCTTATTTTGACAAATACGCGCTTTGCTTGCAACCCACCCACCGCAAGAGGGAAGTCCACTTCTGATTCGTGACGAGGGTTGTTGCTTTCGATTTCGTTGCCGTGGGAATTGATCCGTTTTGGGGACAACACTGGGCAGTGCGGTCGTTTTCGGGTCGAAGTTTACCATTGCCAACCACGACGGCATGAACATGGCCTCGAGTCATAGGCCATGATTTGATTGATTCTCGAAACAATGTGTTCTTTCCCGATGTTTTGCACGGAATGCATCCAAACCCTAGCACGGCCCGATGTTGTTGCACTAGCAGCACTCAGATCAACAACAACTTGAAGGTCGCCATGAGGAACAGTTCACCAGCCAGCTGTGTGTCTTAAATGGTCTACATGAAAGTTAGAGGAAGGAAATAGATGGGCATGTTTGGTCACAAGCCAATGCCAATGAGCAAATGAGCCAATTAAGCTTTTCAGCACCAGCCAGATATCAGTGGAGATGTCAGCCAGACCCATAGAAAGATTTCAGAGCCAGATCCGGTATTTTCCGGGCTTCTGCCTCTTGTCTAGCGAGCTTAGTGATTCGGGGGTATAACGAGCTCACCATTTTTTAAGGTCCTTTACTAGGGGCTCCAATTCTTAATTCAGCTTTTTGGAATTATACAAAATGCAGATGAGTCACAATCAATTTCCCGGATGAGAGAAGGTTCAGGGATAGTCCCTTCAAGGATCTCCCATACTTTTTGAAGGCTTCAGAACCGAAGAACGCGAAGCCAAGGGCTGATGGGCCGCAGCGTGTTGGCGCTGCAACCCGAGCCCAAGCCCGAGGAGACGACCAGTGCCCTGGTTTCCTTTTTTTGGAGGCTTCATTTTCAGACCACTCACTTCCCGAGTTCCTGGACTTCAAACTGTTTGGGGCAGGAGCATTTTAGTGACAAATCAACAGTTTGGACTTTTCTTGGCCAATCCACTCAAGTGAGACCAACTACCAACAAAGAGGAGTGCCCATCTCCCCGTGGCCATTGCGGGTCTGTGACTAGACCATGAGTTTGCACTTTCCCAAAAGGAAACGGGGATGGGCAACTTTCGAAATGGTTCAGATTCCAGAGCCTCTATTTCCGGGGTAAATGAGTCGTGATTTATCAAGCGCGGATGGGAAACGCAAATGTTCGCCCACCCCAAGACGACGGAGGAGACACAGAACACACAGCAGCCGCTGCCGACGGAGAAGCCCACAGGGGGCAAGCTGAACGTCACCCAGGCACTTGGATCCGAATCGGAATCGGAGTCCGAACCGGCACCAAAGGCATGAAACCCCCACTAGGTCCCCCGGTAGTGCCCTTTTACCCTTTTGTGGGGGAGGGTTACCCTACTGAAATAGACTACAGAAAAAAGAGTACCCTTATTCTCACCTCTCTACTGGAAGACCTAGCCCATGAATGCTGGGTTCAACGACCCACAGTTGCCGACATGGATTTCTTCCATCCACATGGCTAAAGTTCGATTGGTGCAATCCAAAATGTGGTGAATGTGAGGGTGTGTGGGTACTAGCGCATGTTGTGTTTGTTGGCATTAGTCAGCTTTGCTTCCAGGCCCCCTACAAACCTTGGTCTTCCAAGGGCCCGCAAAAACAGGGTCCTTCTTGATTTGGCTCTTGAAAAAGGAAAATCCGCCAAAGGCGACTGCTTTTTGGGGGTCCAGGAAGACCATACAAAGCTCAGCCGGCCGAAAAAGCCGAAAACGTGATTTTATCGCCGCGCACTTCGTTTTCGCGTCCGGGCTTCGTCGGTTCAGGCAGCCAGCCCTGCGACGCCAGCCGCGCCGGAGAAGCCGCGGATGGAGCCCCGGTAGGGAGAAACCTCACAGGCACCATCAGGCACCCAGTGGGTACTGATGGTTGCGAAATCCATTTCAACCGCACCACTTTGAAGACATTGTTGAAAACCACAGTTTGTTGGTATTTACAAGGGAATCATCATTCCAGGGTGCTTTAGGTGGTGAAGGATTCTGTCTTTAGCCATCGTTGTCTCTGGAAACCACCCATTGTTCAAGGGTTTGGCCTTTTTTGAAGAGAAGGTTCCGTGAAGAGAATGGGGAGGGTACAGCTAGAACAAACCTCACACCAGGCAACCATCAGGCACCCAGTAGGTAGGTGGGTTACCGGTTTACCCCCATGATTCATCCTCCATTTACTTAAGGATATATGTGTGTTTTAAATATATATATATATATTGTTTTTCCTAGTGTTCCCTTGTTGGGTTTAAAAGGAATTCATCAAAACTTGAAATATGTTTTTCCTGGGGCCTTAACCAAATGGTTGTCGTGAGGGAATTTTACGTTTCTGTTGTGCAAAGTGGGTTTTGTCAGCAGCTTTCTGGGCCTGAAAGAGAAAACAAGCTCTGGGGCGAAAACCATGATCCATCCCGCACGTCTATTGATGCCATGAAGCCACAAGCTTCACATGGATGGTTTTCCTTTTTTCTCCCTTTCAATCCAACCAAACAGAGGAAAACCACAATTTCAACCATAAAAACAACTGGGGTACGGCTAAAACCAACTAACAAGGGGGTACCATCCGAAAAATCACATGGCACCTAAGCCCCAACCCTCCTAGACAGATGCCGAATCCAATTCTTGCGCGCAGTAGACGAACCAAAGGTTTCCCACCGCTCAGAAGCTGCGGGTCTCTTGGACCTTGTCAGCGGAAGCCGAGGTTTCTAGAACGCTGCACTCCCTGAGCCAACGCCCGGGGATTGGTTAGGGGCAGTCGCCGGAAATCCTTGCGGATCTCCGCCTTGTGAATTCTTAATTGAAGCATGGTTCTGGGTTCGCCATTTTTGTTCCAGGTTCTGATTGAGACTCATTTGACATACTCAACCCCGAAAATGCTGTGGAAGAGTTGGGTGAAGAGCGACTTGTGATAGAGCTTCGTCAATCCCAACTGGTGCCGTTTACAGCCACGATGACTGACTGGTGAGCCCAAGTGAATCCGTGTCTGGGCCTAACTTTTCACATACAACATCGGGCCCGGGACCTTACCCTTGCGGGGTTGCCAACTCCTTTCCAGGAAAACACGCCTAGGGTTCGGAGCACTTTCCAAAATGAAACAACTCTGCGACCGCAAGGGCCATCTACATTGACATCGCAATTTTTGGGGCTGCATTTTTAAGGAAATATATAATGTAGGCTTAAATGAACCTTCTTTTCTCAATGAAGATATTGGGAAGCCCAGTTTTCGGGTCGTTCCCGGGAGCTTCGCCCGAAAACTTTGAGAACAAATCGGTCGAAAAGGATCCAACGGCTCGGATCCGGGAGACCTCCACGGCATGCCACCGGCTCTTCCCGGACGGGGTGCCCACGGACCTGGACCTCGAGGCGTTTGTTTTTTCTTGACTATTCGGTTGGGTCTTAGACTTTTTGGCTGAAATCAAGAAAACACATACAGGGGTCAATCAAGAAACTTGCTTGGTTGGGTCTTTAGACTTTTTCGTTGAAATCACGAGGATTTCCACTAAACCCGCATCCGTCACTTTTTGCGGAGGGGTCAACAGCAGCCAAGTTCTGGAGAGTTCCGAGTGAGCGCCTTGAAGAAGAGAGAGGCCCGAGGTGGGGGTTGTTGGAAAGGTTGTGGGCCAGATGCTTCTCTGTGGTTTTCAGGAAGACCCTTGCTTGAGCTTGGGGATGGGGGGGAACCCCCGTGGATCTTCGAATCCTTATTTCCAAGGAGTCAAAATTATTGTTCGACTTGGGTTTGGAGGTTGGGGAGCTTTCGGGGGAAAGGCCAAGGTGGTGGGTGAGTCCGTGGTGAGATGCCATGAAAGCGAAGGAGTCTAAGCGCAGGCGAAACCCAGTGGGACCCTTTCAGGTAGTGCTCTTGTCTCCCCCAATGGTGCCCGTTCTCACCAACTGTTTTGGTTGGGAGGGTTCCTCTACTAAAATAGACTACAGAAACTACTAAAATAAATAGACTACAGAAAAAAGTTTGTAGCCTTGTTCTAACCTCTCCACTGGAGGACTTAGTTGTTTTATTTTTGCTCGCAACGGGGTTCCTCTATCCGTGTGGCAGGGGACTGCCTCGAGAAAAAGGGGGATGCAAAGCTCTGCCGGCCCAACTTGTATAAGGAAGCTCGTTCATACCATTTGGACTCTGTATAGAGTCCAGAGGGTTGCACTGATTGGGGTTGCTCTTTATAAGGCCCAACTTTGAAGTTGCTGTTGTACTGACTCGGTGAAATCTCACCTATTGGACATAAATTCATCGAAGTCTGGGGATGTCTGGGGAACCAAACATGGACAACGTCTTGACTCAAACGGGTTGGCCAGCAAAGAAATATTCCAAGGGATGAATGGTGGCAGACCTTGGCTCCACATTTCTCACTTTTGGCAGCTGTGTGAGCGGCAGGAAGCGCGTTCCAACAGCCACGGCTTATCTCTTATCATCTCGGTTGATAGCAGAGTAACTGCAGGCCGCATAGCACGAGTTCTCTCCAAACCCTTATGTGTTGGTTCTATGCACGACATGCCTTTCGAGTCAGCGGGAGTAGCAGGGTCCACGTACACATCGACCTTGTGGTAACTGACTACCGCGCTGCGAAGCGGTCGGCCTGTCGGCCAGGACGCCACTGTTATGAACAACGTGACGGTGATCGCGAAGCTCAGGGAGCACTTGCCGGCAGAGGTCCAGGAGGACGTGGCGTGGCGGCGTGACGGCGTGACGGCGTGTCGGCGTTCGTGGCAGACACCGGGTGTGGGGGGAAGCTTCTCCATATTGTTTCCAGGGATCCTTCTTTTCAGGAAACCATTAAAACTCGGGGGAAACAACCATTTTTTTATTAAACGATGGTTGGAAAGAACGGGGAATCAACCTAGCCAGATTTTTCAGTGTTCGTGTCTGGTTTTGAGGGAAGCCCTTTATTTGTGGGGAGGGCCATTTTTACAGAGCGCACTCTCAGGGTCTGCCATAGGCAGCAACACAGGGCACCTTGAAGGTCGGCTTGAGACTTTCTTCGATGCTCCCCCTGTCTCCAAGTGCTTTAGGTTGGCTTGTGATACAGGTCTCCAATCTTTTTGGTGGGCGGTGACTCAGATGAATGATTTAAATGTCAGGAGCCCCTTGTCATTCATCTCTTTAGCATGCGCGGCTGTGCTGAAAAAGCAATGTTGAGCAATGATTGCTGACCCCCACTGATTCATTTGAAAACTGGGAAGGATCCCCCTTGAACGGTGTGATGAGAAATGGGACACCTCTCCCCTTTCGTCCCTCTGAATGTTCTGCGCGGTTGAAAGGGAAAACCCAAAATGGGACCACCCGTCGTGATTGGTTGCTCATTGGGTGATCAATTCTGGGCTTCAATCATTTTCAGGACAACCCAAGGTGCTTGAAGGCACAGCGATGGTCACGTTCACGAGTGACTGTCCTGGTTTTCGGCTTGCCTCCTGGCCTCGAGCAAATGGACCATTGGATCTTCAAGCTTTCCAAAGAACTTCGGTTGACCTTCACACCATGGCCACGATGAGTTGCCCTTTTGCCAACTTTTTTGGGGAAGGGTTCCCCTACTAAAATAGACTACAGAAAAAAGTTGGTACCAACTTATTCTAACCTCTCCACTGGAGGACCTTGTTGACCTTTTGAGTCGATGGGAAACCGAGCAACGGACGCAGGAGATTGACGCCTTGGAGCGGGACCAGGCGCCTGAAGCCTGAAGACGGGTGTGGCCAAGTCATAAGCATAGATGTCCTTTTTGTTGTTTTGGTAGAAACACAGATGGCGATTCCTAGTTTACCTGGTGGTTTAATCATCTAGGGCATCTATTTCCCCTAACTGGACGCCTATGCTCATAAGTCCAACCCTCCCCCCACCCCCCCCCCAACCAGCCCACCCTCATTTCACCTTGATTGAGGTTGGAGGAGGGGAGGGTTGGATCGTATGATCAATGGCTGGGTTCTCAAAAACATACAGGAAGCCACAATGGGATGGAGTTTTGTTGTTTGAGGTTTCCACCCCATCCCTATTTTGCAATCAGATTTGGAAACCGCCGTCGGATGGCTTTTACATACCCGCCAACAATAAATACGCCCGCCCCCACCCCCCACCCCCCTCCCCCGAGCAATATTATTGCTTTGTGGCCGAAGGATATGTCTTTATCGATGTATACACTTGTGGCCTAGGGGGTGTCGCCTCAGTCCTTGACTCAAATGAAATGCTAGAAAGGGCTGTTTTCTTATTAGTTTGGAATACACACTTTGAAGGGAAGACAGACATGCATTGAACTCTGGTTGGGACAGGCATGCGTTGTCTTGCATTGGGTTTAGTGATAGTTTTATTATGGTCTCATGCTGATTTGACCCTGTCCCCTAGGACAGCAACTAGAGTCGGCGGGAAATCTAGGATTCTAGAATTGGTTAGGCGTGGGCTAATTCTAATTTAGAATTAGGAGATTTGGGGTCTGGGACAAATATGGTTTATTAATAGGGCGCATTTCATGAATAGGGCACATTTTCTAGTAGGAGGAAGGGATTAATGAACACCAAAAGGGATCCAAGCTTTGCAATTTTAGGGGCCCTGTATTTCAGGAACCCACGTGGTTGTCATCACTCTGTTCAGAAGCCGACTTTTCAGCTTCTTTGGAGCGGCTCTGGTTGCGTCTGCAAGAGACTGGCTGAAGCCTCAGCTGAGATCAGCTAAGATGGGGCTATGCTGGCGATGGTCCTTTGCCTACCTCTTAAAAAAACACAACTTTTCAACTTTTTGGGTAACATGGGCTATATGTCTGTAAAAGATTAACTTCCCCAGGGCTTGCAGTTTTAAGGGGTAAGTTTGCAGTTGAGATCTTCTTGCAGCGAGGAATGAGGGAATGAACCCAAAGACTCCCGAACGGACACCACCAGTTGGCAGGTTTGATTATGGGGCTCATTCCATGCAACTCCTTCCCTGCCGATTTCTCTCGCAGCGAATGCAAGTTCCCTGAACGGTTTCGGAAAACCCAGGTTCAGGGAACGCTGTCCAAGCATGAAGGAACCTTAGACCTCCGGACGAATCTCGAAGTGCGATTGAAATTTGTCGCTCTCGCAACAGCAACCCATGTGGGCTGGTAGCTTCCTTCAAATAAATCCCTCAGTTCATTGCCTCATTCCCCGCATCTCTCGCACCGAACGCCAGTCGAGTTCAGGGAACGCTGTCCATGAAAGAACCTTAGACCTCCGGACGTCAACAAGCCATGTGGGCTGGTAGCATCCTTTAAAGGAATCCATGAAGGAACTTTCAACCTCCGGACGTCAACAAGCTTTGATCTAAGGGTTTTTGTATTACACCCTGGGAATACACCCACTGGGTATTGACCCCATCTAGGCACCTTTCCGGATAAACCCGTGTAATTTTGAACCATTCCCAAGGTCATTTCCCCAGGGTGTAATCCCAGGGTGTAACACAAAAACCCTCAGAATGTTGGCCAGATGAAAGGCCGCGAGGGCAAACAGGCGTTGCGCCCTTGGACTGTGAGTACACTGGAAGGTCTTTTTGGCGAACCCTTCGCGAAGCCCAGGCGGTCCAAGCATTGCAGTACCCATTGAGCACTGGCCACATGGCTGTGGGTGAAAAATGGGTACGAAAAATGGAAGCATCGTAAATGGAAACATGAACTAAATCCTGCGGTGTAATTCCTGGTGGTTTTCTTTTGACCCATACCCACATGTTTGGCCGAGAGATATGAGACTTCGAGTGTGATCCAGGCGGCTCACAATCCCCGAAGTGCGGTTTGAGATCGACGCAGGTCCTGGACTTCTTGCAGGACCTCTGCGACGACTTCACGGTGAGGAAGAGCACCCGGGCCGCGCCCAAGCGCCAACTGCCGGGAGCCCGGGACGATGAGGGGGGGAGGGGTCGGAGTGCAAGGCCTACGGCCCCAAGGGATCTCTGTATCAAGTTTGTATATAACGCATACATAGGGTATCCAAGCATATTATATCGAAATTAACAATGAGGGTGGTTGTTTGGGATAGTGGAACATGTTGTGAACTGCTGGCTTTATTTGGGCTTCCCTTTCAATCCATCGCACTATTTTCAGACTGACCTCTTTTGGGCCAGGATGAATTCCTTGCTTGATTCGTAGAGGGCGGCACTTGTTTTCGGGATATGGAGCTCGGATGACTGGGTCTGGCTTCACGCATCTTTTTGGAAACGAGCAGTTGGTAACCAGTTGGTACACGTCCGCGGTTTTCCTGGGTTGCTTGAAAAGACACCGGACTCGGCGAGCAAGTCGAAACCTCGGATTTTTGTGTGGCGAGTGAAGCTGAACATGGGGAATCGCTTGGTTTCTTTGGGATGCCAGACCATTATTTGCGCTAGTCCATTTCCCTGTGTATTGGAACTTGGAAACTGATTTGCATGTTTCATGCTACAATGAGTTGACTTGCGAAGTGTAGCAAAGTGGTGAGTCCTTCCGTCGTTCAAGTGCGGTAGTCTGCTGAGCTGGGGATATGGTGTAGGCCAGAGTTCAACAATTGTCCTAAAGGAGTTGTTTTGAGGCTTTTTATATGATGAATTAAATAGTTCAGCTTGCTGGAACAACGTCCACACCTCCGCCGGTGTGGGTTGGCCCACTGCGACTCTGAGGCAAATGTCCGATTTGACCCCACTGCCAGTGGATCAACAGATGAGCAAGTTGGAGTCACACTTCAGGCGTGGTGGGGCGGACTGCCCTGCCAACTCGGGTGTCATTTGCATGTTTACAATCCTGGTGGAAGTTTGTTGCATCGTCGTCAGCATTGCCTCCGCCGCGTGGCCATTTGTTTTTGTCGCAGTTGTTGTCGTTGTGACTGTGGTTGTGATCGTCGTGATCATCGTCATTGTTGTCGCCATCGTTGCGGCTTTGATTGGTGTTTTGTTGTCTTGCTGGTCGTTGTTGTGTTCTCTTGGCTGGCTGGCTGGCCAGCTGATTGCTTGGCTTATTTGCTCATTGCTTGTTTGTTCGTTCCTTTCTTTCAGTCTTTGTTTCCTGCCTTGGCTGGCTGGCTGGCTGGCTGGCTTGCTTGCTTCCCTGTTTGTGGGTCTGTTTGTTTGTGTGTGTGTATGTTTTGTTTGTCTGCTTGCTTATTTGTTTGTTCGTTCGTTTGTTTGGTTGCCATTGGTTTGTCGGGTTTGTGTGCTGGTTGGCTGGTTTGTGTGTTTGTTGGTTGGTTGGTGGGTCAGGTTGCTTGCTTGCTTGTTGGCTGGCAGGCTGGCTTGCCTGCTTGTGATTCGTTCCCTGGTTACAGAGAGATAGAAGCCAAAAGCTGGGCCCTGATTTCGATCTGACCTGCGCTGGTTTGGCTTTCCTGTTTTGGTTCGTTGCCATGGGGCCAACAAATATGTTTCTTGGAATGCTTTTGGTCTTTCCCTGTTTGCTTGGGCCATCCTGGGGCGAACGGACGTTTCAAAGTTCCTGGACGAACGGGCAAAACCACGGGAACTATGAGCCGCCTGGATCACACTCTCGAAGTCTCATATCTCACGGCCAAACATGTGGGTATGGGTCGAAATTAAACCACCAGGAATTGGACCGCAGGATTTAGTCCATGTTTCCATTTACCATGCTTCCATTTTGGGTACCTATTGTTGACCCACAGCCATGTGGCCAGTGCTCAATGGGTACTGCAATGCTTGGACCGCCTGGGCTTCGCGAAGGGTTCGCCAAAAAGACCTTCCAGTGTACTCACAGTCCAAGGGCGCCACGCCTGTTTGCCCTGATCGCAGTCTTTCATCCACCGGCCAACATGCTTGACTGCTATTGGGTTGGATCTTTAGACTTTAACTTTTTAATTGAAATCACAGGGTTTTCCACTAAACCCCCAAAAGGCTAAACCCTTTGCAGGGGGTCAACAGCAACCAAGCATGGAACCCAGCGGAAGTTTTTTCAATGACAAGCATGATGAGGCCGCCTCGGTTTCCATGTTTGAGGCAGCATACATAGCATCGGGATTGTTGAGAGGGCACTAGCAGCTCCTCATCCCCACTTTATACCCTTACACCTGTTCCTGCTTATCTATGGTAAAAGACACTTATTGTCCCCGTTGTAGATTTATAGTCATTCGGGAGTTGTTTTCATTGTACAGCAAGCTTCAGCTGAGTTAAGAACCTTCTACGTCCGTTTGGCAGAAGCCCAGCTTTTTGTCGGACATAGCAACGCCACCCTTTCCATTGGTTTCAAGCACCCAGGTATTAAAGGCGGGATATACAACCACTATGTGGCCACTGCCCCGTTTTTTTCTTGGGGGAGGGTAGTGGTTTTTTTTTTCGGGAGATGAGTGTGGCTCAAAATTAAACGATCGGAGGGGTTAATTACGCGGGGTTTTGGTAGCCATGTTTCCACTTACCAGGGCAACCCATTTCGGAATTCCGGTTTTTTGAGCCACAGCCAGATCAGATCCTGTCGTTTGGGATCCGAGCTTTCAATGAAGCCAGGAAGAGCTGTCGCTGCGAGAAGGCGGACAGCTGCGGCTCGGGAATGGTCGGGCTGGGGGAAAAACTTGTGCTTGACGTGTTTGAACAGGGCTCCTTAAAAGGTCTCCATTTTGCAATCATTTGAAAAATGGCTTCTTCAACACCGAAATAAAGGGAAAGCCACCATTTACAAGGCAATGTTCAGGTGTATAATGTAAGGATCCCTGCTAAACCACCACCCGCTGGTCCCAACTGCTTTCAGCCAAACAGAAACAGATCTACTGTGGATGGACAGAATCCTGCACCACTTTGAAACCATGGTGACCATGGTTTGCTGGTATTTTGCGGGGAATCGAATCAGACACCAGGATCTTTGAACGGAGGTGCGATTTCTGCATTTCGCAACTATCCACAGCTATGTTTGCTAGGTCCCCCAGTAGTGCCCTTTTACCATTTTTTTGGGGAGGGTTCCGAACCCTACTAAAATAGACTACGGAAGAAAGTTGGTACCCTTATCTAACCTCTCTACTGGAGGACCTAGTTTGTAGTTCTTCTTTTATCGGCGAAGCAAAATCAGTTTGATTCAACTGGGCTTCGGCTCGGCACTCTGGCACTCCCAAGAAGGATGGCAGAAGCCTCAAAGCCTGGACTCAGAGTCTTGAGCGGTCAACAGACGCCGGGAAGCCTCATGTTCACTTGTGACTAGGCGGTGGCGTGGCAGCCAGGCTTGGTTTTTGGAGAGGTGTTTGGAGTCACCAATTCTTGGTGGCGAAGCCAGCCATCCGGTTCCTTAGCTTTTTGGATCCTTTTAGTGTTTAGTTTAGTGGTAGTTTCCGAATTTAAACAACTAAAAGTGATTCACTTTTAGCGGGGGATCTGAGGGCAGCCCAGAATTGTTGGTTCAACTTTTACACGTGGTCTGTTTTGCTTTGCCGACGGCAACCAGCCAATTGTTTTGACCTATAGTCTCAATGAATCAAGGCGTTTGGGCAGCGAATTCTTTCCAGCCCAGGCAACTACTACCACTACGGGGCTCGCCCCACGCTCTGGTGCTACGTGGACAAATCTTCCGTTCCCTTTTGCCATGAGGAGGGCATCATGCTCTTCAAGGCGCGAGCGCCTACGGGGAGGGCATGGGCGTGTCTCTTTTTTTTGGGGTGCCCCAAAATGGCTTGGGTTTCCTGTTGGTTTCGCTTGAAAACCACAAAAAGGGGTACCCTCAAAAAAACACAGGCCCATATGGGTGTGGCATTTCTTGGGGAGCTGTGTCTCTTGCTTTGCCGAGAAACCGCAAGATAACCAACCGATTTAGGCACGCCTACTTTGAGACAAACCCAAATTCTTGGGATGGACGAGACGTACAGGCACAGACAAAGAGACACAAACACAGACGAGACATGCACACTTACCCACTATTCACTCAGGCGCAGACACGCAGACACACGCAGACACACGCTCACACACACAACAGCAGCTGGTGCTCACCCTGTATGGAAGAGGCACTGCACTGCTGAGGCGGTCTTCTGTATTTACAGAGATAGGGTCATAGTCAAGTTCGAAGCAAACACACGAAACCAGAAGACCCGTTCCGAACAGTGCCGCCCCGCGCCTCTATGCCTTGGTATCTCAATCAATGTCTCTGTGTTTGTGTGTCTGTGTGGGTTGTGTTCGTGTCTTTGTGCCTTTGCGTCTCTGCGTCTTTGTGTTTGTCAATGTGTCTCCGAGATTGTCCGAGAGCGCACGTCTGTGCATCCACGAGTTACTCTGTGACAGACTGTGTCTGTGTGCTGCGCTTGCCTCGGCCTCAGTTGAAGAAGGCGCACGGGGCGATTCTTGGGGCATTGGGCGCTATGCTTTTCCTGCGGTCTCCTCAGATCTAATGTTTTGAGGTTGACCACCTGCGGAAGACGGCTTGAGAAGGTCTTTCTCAATATCAGAGTTGGACCCTGTGGTGGTTGGCTTCCTTTTGGCTTCCCTTCAAAAGAAGAAACCATTCCAGAAAGGGAACCCCCCCTTTTGGTTTCCCTCAAAAAAAAAAACCTTGTGGTTTCCGTTTAAAACCCAAGTCCCCCAATAGTGCCCTTTTACCCTTGTTTGGGGGAGGGTTCCCCTGCTAAAATAGACTACAGAAGAAAGTTGGTACCCTTATTCTAACCTCTCTACTGGAGGACGAAGACAGCATTCCCCCTTTCAACCCCCCTTTTGGTTTCCCTAAGAAAACATATTCCAGCATGTTTTTCCCCCTTTTGGTTTCCTTTTGGACCGGTACATGTTTTCTCCTCTTCTTCTTTTTTTGTAGTTATAAGTGTTTTTCCGGTTTTTTCCGCCTCTTGTCTTCTTGGTTTCCCCCCCAAAACAAAATCCCCCAGTGGCCAATGGCCCCATTTTCAGCCGATCTCCCGACCTCGAGACGCTTCCGAGAAGCCTCTTCCGCGAGGCCCGGGACGGGAAGATCTGGAGCCTGGACATCTGCACCGAAGCCACCTGTGCCGCGGCAATGAGACGAGTGGCCACGAGTCACGAGTCACCAAAAGCACAAGAGAGAGCCGCAGCAAAACACCCTCGAAGATGTTCTCAAGGTGCGTTTTTTTCTTTCTTTCTTTCTTGCGGCGACCTGGGAGGCAATGAGCTTCCGCCCTTTGGCAAGCAACACATGTATTGTAAAGGTGTTTCAGCCATCGGAATCGCACCTTTTTCCTTGGTTCTGCAAGGGCTTGCAAAAACAGGGTCCTTCTTGATTTGGCTCTTGGTTGACAAAGGAAAATCAGCCAAAGGCAACTGCTTTTTCAGGGTTCTGGAAGACCAAGGATAGACATACCCCCAAAGACCCCACAAAACATTTGTTTTTCCGGTGTTTGGAGTGTACCATTTCAAGACCCAAAAGGAGCTGCGCCTTCTTTTGAGATAAACCAAAGGGAGACTCCTCAGCCCTGGCATGCTTTCACCAGTACTTCCTCATTCCGAGTCCTCCAAGAGTTGTTCCACTGGTGTTTCCAAGCCATGGGACGTAGAATCTTGGATTACCAGAGGGCCATGATGTTTTGTTCACCAGCTGTTTCCAAGTTATGGACCATATTTTTTGTTCAAGCTTGCTTCAGAGTTTTCCTTCATATGTTCTTTACTCTGTTCAATATGTTCTCAATCAAGTTGTCCGCCTTTGTTCTAGGGCTCTATCAGGTTGCTGCTTCTCTGGACCAAAAAACCCATCCAATGAGTGCTGGATCAGTTTGCTGAACCCGCCAGCAGCGGGTTTTCTTCGATGGGATCAGATTCCTGGGAGCCGAGGCCACAGCAGCCGCAAATCAAAAGCCGAGGGATCTGAACGATGGCTGTCCGTTCACTTCTGGGGATCTTGGTGGGCTACACGTCCGCGGGAAGTTTGGCCAAGGGCCCGTTAAGATGCAGGTCTGCTATCTACATGACATAGGGGAGGGGGGACCCCCAAGCTTTTCCAACTGGTTTCCCTTCAGACCCTCAAGAACATCCCCCCCCCAATTGGAGTTTACCCCCTACTCAAAATACCCGCCTTTTTCATTTTTCAGGGCATTTCTGGTTTTCCATGGTCAATACCTCCTCTTTTTGTAGAGTGTCATGCATGACCCGCTGAAAAAAGGCTGGGTATTTGGAGGTTACGGGGGTAGAAGTCCTTGCCTTAAGCTTCTGCCACCCACCTTCCTTCTTCCCTTCACCTCAAAAATACGCCCCCCCCCCCTCCCACAGACCCTCAAAAACATACCCCCCGCCCCCCACCTTCCTGCTTCCCTTCAGACCCTCAAAAACAACCCCCCCAATGGAGTTTAGAAGTCCTTGCCAAGCTTGTGCCAGGCAACCGGCCCAAAGCGTCCGCTTCGCTTTGAGGCAAATGCGCGGGCCTTGGCATGCCGCCGGAGGACGGCGCCGTGGTGGACAAGAGCAACCCCTTGATCCAGCAGCACCCTGGCGGGAAGCGATGGATTGGGTGGACTGGCTGGGATTGCCTGGGAAGCCCATTGCATGTGTATATATATATATGTATATATATATATATATTGAAGTAACATACATGTTACATTATACATTTATATAATGTATGCGATTCAGTTTCACACACACACACCGCTTCATTGACATATCTTGCAGGGCTCAAATTGTTCAGGCAGGCGCCAACCCTTCCCAGGGGTTTGGAGCGTTCGCCAAGCAGTTAATCAACGAAGCAGTGATGGTTATGTCATTTCTCCAGTGCCGGTCGGACTTCCGCAAACCGTCTTGTCCAGAAACCACACGATGTTTCCCAATACAGATGTCAAGTTTACCAATGGAAGACACGGATGGAGAGATTCACAGGCTTTTTCGGTCTCGAGTCCGCTCAGCCCAACGCGAATCGGCCAAAGCAAGGTGTTCACCTTCATTTGCTGGGTCTTCAAAACCGGCGAATCGACCCCACAAGGTGTTTCCCTTCATTTCTGGGTCTCATTTTCCGGGGGATTTTCGGGCGGCGGATCACTCGACTGCCTTCAGACCTCGCCCATCGCGAGAGGAACGAGATCTTCTACGGCGCCCAGTGCGCCAAGTGGCGCAGCTCGGACAAGTTCGAGTGGTGCTTCGCAGGCTTGGACACCACCTGCTTCAACCGGGATCGCCCCGTGCCGCCGGACTACAAGACCTCCTCCTTTCACAAAGGCGGCTCGGTGCAGGGGCGGGGTGCTGGGTGGTGCTGGTGCTGCAAGGGAAGTGTGCCGGTTTGTTGCTCGTTGCTCGTTGCTGAATTTGCTTGTTGCTTATTACTTATTTGGCAGATTTGAGCCTGGAACAGACGGATCACTGTGGATTGCTGAATGGTGCGTGGCCTCCACGAACCGATTTTGGTTGGTACGCCTGTTGCTAAATTGTCCCCGCATGTACATGATCATCGTGTCCAAGCCGAAAGAAGCCCTTGGAAGGGAATTTATCTGCCCCAAGCCCGGGTTGGGGCAACACAGACCCGCCCATTTATTGGCCATAGATCATACGCAGTGTGTGTTTGGTTGGTTTACATGCCGTCAGGAACATCCACAACACCATGCGTTAGCTTGTCGAACCCGACAGGCTTCATTGACAGTTTTCCTTGCAACCACAGGCTTGTGTTAGCTCGGGTTCCAAGAAAAGAGGGCGGGTCATCGGCATGTGACTCCGTGGATCCTTGGACGGATTTTGGTTGATCAGAGCCTCAGTTGAACTGTTGCATAGACCTGCGCTTGAAGCCCGCAACATTGCGAGGTGTCTTCTTGGAGGTTGTCATGATGCCCCCCTTCCTAGACTCCTTCCATGGCAAAAGGGATATGCTCCAATAGTAGAAGCTTGGACGACCCCCCCAACATTGAAAGCACTGGACCGTTGGCTTTGCGAATCTTGTGTGGCTTTCTAGGTGTAGGGTCGGCATGGATTGGTGACTCATGACCTCAGCTTCACGTGCAGACTGTGAAGCCCTGGGGCTGATTGACATCCCAATCTTCAGGCAGAATGGCCTCAGCACAACTGTTGTGGGGGGCAGGGGGGCAGGCTGTTTTAAGGCCCAAACTTGGTCAGCCAGGGGATGTCGCGAGCATGTTGCTTGAAGGCCAACCTTGAAGCGGCACAAAAAGAGGCCTCAAGCTTTGTCGCGCTTGAGGACACAGAAACAGTTAGCATAGAAGCCCGCGAATCAAACTTGTCCGCTTCAAGTGAGCCACAATCAAAACCCGGGTAGATGAAGGTTAGTAAGGGACAATACCAGGTCCAACCATAAATAGCTGCGGCCGCCTTCTTAATTCTTTACATGGTTCTGGGTAGACCGCTTTAATGCGGTGTTTTGATTCACTCAAGTGTACTCCTCGAGCGGAGAACATACAAGCATCCCCACTTCTTAGCCCGAAAGAAAACACACACAACAAAAGAAAAGGAGCAACGATCGCAAGGCAGACTTCGAAGGCGTTTCTGCCTTCGCCTGCGCTGGCTTGAGCTGAGGCATGCGGTATATGTTTCAGTCCATGGAGCCCTGCAAAAGGAACAACCTCTCCCAGGACGTGGGCGGGCGCCTGGATCATCCCTTGCAAGTCTGTGAGTATTTGCAGGCAGGGGACACCACCGAAAATCCGAAAATCAATTCAGCCGCGGGAGGGGGGGGGGCCTGGCATGTGTGTGGGTGTGGGGTGTGGGTGTTTGCCGAAGATAAGCCACGGAGGCCTCGGAGAGGGCCTCAGTCAGAGTTTGCGATTCCCTCCTCGCCCCATAGCTCACTTGGAGGTCAGCCGTGCCAACATGTCGTCGTGTTCCCAACCTTTGATTCAACACACCGTGAGCACCTGACTGGAATTCTCTTCTTGCCGTGCTTCTCTTCAAGTGACCACCTGATGGGTTTTTGTAGATCCGCAGTTGCACGGCCCAGCCACGCACATCTCGCGTACCCATTCACTGGGACGGCCTGTGCTGGATCTCACTTGCTACACGGATGCATCAAAGTCCGGGTACTTTGAAGAGGCGAAGATAATTTCACCAATTGTTTAGTCCTGCAACCATCATGACTCAATGTGGTCAAAAGTCATTGCAGACCCATTCTAAAGATTGAGGCCCGGCAACGAAGCCTTGAGGACCCGAGTTTGGGTCCCCCGAGGTTTGACAGCGCGGCAGCGAAGCTGCAAAAGTTGAGCCCATTGGCGCTTAGCGTAGAGAACGCCCAAGAAGCTGGGTGCCGAATCTTAAAATTGATGCCACATGGCACTGGTCTTCCTTGTTGTAGTGGCCTTCCCCTACAAAATGCGGCTTAGCATTGGGGATATCCCCATTTTGAACACACTAAGAGCAAGGGCACCCCAATGCTTTGGCTGAGGTGGCGAGTCCACTGTGTTCGCGCGCATAGTGCGCAGTTCGACCAAGGTGTTCTTCAGAAACCTACTGTAAGAGTATCCTTGAGACCACCCGTGCCATTTGCCCGGCTTTTTGTATTTTCTTACAAAAAGGAGGGGTAAACTAACCACTATCATTATTTTCCTCGAGATTAAATTTGGGTGGGTCAGAAAAATTGCATCCCTCGCAAAAAGCAGATGGACCCTGAAGGGTTTCTGCAGGAGTCACCATGTGAGTGCCTCACCTTTTTGGGGGACCCCCAACTTGTGGTTTTTCGTCTTGGTTTTCCTTTAAACCACCATCACAAGCGGTACAAACCAATAGGTAAATTATATCACCGGTGGTCGAAGGATCGACCCTGCAGGTCGCCTTGCAGATCTTGCTGTGGACCCATTTCGCCTTCTTCTTCCCCATGGGCGGCATCATCTTTAAGTTTGTGTCCAATCGATGCGGCGACATGGTGGTGCTTCTTGATCGCACACAGGTGTTTCAGCTTCTTATTTTGGATGAGTGAGGAATATTCTGAGTCCAGGTAGAGCATGGTTGCTTGTACGTTAGTACATGAGTGTCCAGGATTGGCCGAAAGACCCTCTTGTTTCTTTCGGATCTGGATGCGCCTTGAGTAGCTCTTGGAAAGCAGTGGCTGCGTTTGTGTTGGCTACCCTTTTGGGGTTTGAAAAAGAAATTCTGGGCTCCCCTGTTTGAGACAAACCGACTTTATGAAGTCTGCACAAATGACAGGAACCCCGGCTTTGGTTTAGAGCGCCGTGCATGTCATCCAGCACCTGACACTGGAAAAGCCCGCTTGGTCCCTGGGGACCGGATTGCCAGGAAGAACCCACATCGCCATAGGACCAGAGTTGCCGCTCCCTTGTCATTCGGGATCCTTCTCTCCAAGTTGCCACCCCAAAGGTGATGGTTTATCCTTGAATTCTGAAAAGAAACTCGAAAGAAGCATTGTTGGAGAGAGTGCGACATCGACCCTGGAAGATCGCCAGCTATGGCACGAAGCAAAACTGTGTTGTGTATAGTCCTGTCAGTCTGTCAATTTCCACCTTTGTGTGAGACTCTCCTCGTGAAATTGGAGCAACGCGCGAGAGTGGTCCCATTGCCTGTGGCTTTTCCGAGCTGGTTTATCACAGAAGCCCTGGGATGTGTCTTCGACTTGCGAAAGCACAAGTCGCATGAGGCACATGGAAATGCACGGTCGTTTCCCTTGAAACAGGTATGAAGCGAATGTACCCCTCAGGTTTCTGCCAATGGAAGGCATTCACCCTGGGCATGCACTGGCCTGGGCTTTTGACGTCTTGGACGAAGCAGACCCCATGTGCAGAGCTCCGTTTTGAGGGCGTGTCTCCGTGTAGTCCAAAAGGCAAGCGTTTCTTGGGATGGGGCCAAGGACCGAGGAACAGTTCGACCCCACTCTCGCCAGCGACACGGACTCGTCCGCCAGCACTGAAAACCACGAGCGCCGTGACAGTGCCTTGATCAAAGCCTCCTGCATGGCAGATGCTTTCAACGCGGGTTTCGGGGGAAGTAGGATATTATAGACGTTTACGTTTACTGTAAACCCAAATAAACGAACCAATGCAGTACGTAAGGTACCTATATATATATATATATTAATATATAGTTACATACACCTGAAGTGTATATATATATATATTACAAGTGCAAACCGGCTCTCTCTTTCTCTCCCTCTCTTTCTCTCTATATGTATATATATATATATGTATATCCATATGCGTGTGAACAGGGCCACCGAATTCATGGACTAGCACCACATGATGAATGTCGTGTTGTTTTTTGGCAGGGCCACCCTGTTTCTGGAAGCTTCTACATGTGCATTCCAATGACCCGTTGTTCTGGGTATGGTGATGGTGAATTCATCTGGGCAGTGTCACACATGTGCCATTCTCGAAAGTCCTTTGTCCTTAGACTTTTTAGGTTAATGGTGTTCAATCCTTCCGGAGTACTTTCGGACAACCCCCAGAATCCTCCTCAAAGAGAGTCATGTGTGAATTATGTCACCTCGTTTTTATGTCAACACAAGTCACAATCAACATGAATCCCCCCACTTTCCAACATGGAAGTGGGTTCCGGGACTTCCGAAATCCATGAAAGTCTTCCAGAACCTATGAACAACATCCTGCAGTTGGCGTGGAACCCATACTGTGGATGGACCTGCACCACCTTAGAGACCCTGGAAGGATGATTCCCCTGTAAATACCAAGAAAGAATGGTTTCCCATGGTTTCCAAGTGGTGCGAATTTGATTTTGTCCATCCATTATGAATGCAGGGAGAACCGATCCATTGGGATCCATTCGCTGCAAGGCTTTCAGGCGTTCCAGCACAACGAGGTCGAGGATGAGGCTCTCAGAGATCAGGACGAGCGAGACCAGCGCGACGGGCGAGACGAGCGCGAGCAAGACAACCCGCGCAGCCGCGCGCGATAAGCGAGGAAAACGGACCCGCGACTGCGACCGCCGCGAGCATTCGATATGGAGGTTGATCGATATATTCCATTTAGGGCCCCCAAATGACCATGGGTCACTTTTTCATTTAGTGGGAAATAGGCTTTTTGTGGTTTTCCTCAATGGTCATCCCACGTAAAGGACCTTTTGATCAACCCGCATATGATGAGGATGTGCCCAGGATTTTCTCGTTGGTGTTACTGATCGAAGAAGCAAAGGCAGGATGCCAAGTTTGATATACATTCCCACCCTGAACCCATTGGCTTGGCTGGCCGTGCTTGGCTTGTTTGTGCGAGGTGTTGCCCATTGTCTTCGGCTGTTTGCCGTTTATTCAGATGGACAATCTGCTTCATTTTGCAAGATGTTGGCTACAGTAGTCGTGGCTCAACGATGATACACATCCTAAAGGCATTAGGCAACGGAGCAGGGAAGAACCGTTTATACGGGGATCATCAGGCAATGGTACGGAGTAAGGCAAAGTTACTCGAACAGTATGAGACCTAGCCGGCCATCAAAGTAGGGGCTGTGCGACTCCCCCCGGGTGCCACCGGGACTTCTCAATCTGTCCCGGAAAAAAAAAGGAACAAAAACTAGACGACGAGTGGCCCGGAAGCATAGAGGCAAGTTGATGCAGGTGAGGTAACTCTCGCAAAGTTAGCATGAGGAGTTGGCAGGCGAAGCAATTCTCAAAAAGTTGGCATGAGAAGCTGGCAGGTTAAGTAACTCTCGAATAGTTGGCTGGCAAAGTTGGCGGGTGAAGTAATTCTCGCAAAGTTGACATGAGAAGTTGGCAGGCGAAGTAACTCAAGAGAAAAGTTGGCATGAGAAGTTGGCAGGTGAAATAACTCTCAAAGAGTTGGCATGAGAAGTTGGCAGGTGAAGTAACTCTCGAAAAGTTGGCGTGAGAAGCTGGCAGGTGAAGTAATTCTCGAAAAGTTGGCACGAGAAGATGGCGCGTGAAGTAACTCTCGAAAAGTTGGCGTGAGAAGCCGGCAGGTGAAGTAACTTTCGAAAAGTTAGCATGAGAAGTTGGCAGGCGAAGTAATTCTCGAAAAGTTGGCGCGAGAAGTTGGCAGGCGAAGTAACTCTCGAAAAGTTGGCAGGCGATGTTGGCAGGTGAAGTACCTCTCGAAAAGTTGGCATGAGAAGCTGGCAGGTGAAGTAATTTTGCGAAAAGTTGCCACGAGAGGTTGGCAGATAAAGTATTTCTCGAAAAGTTGGCATGAGAAGTTGGCAGGTGAAGTAATTCTCGAAAAGTTGGCAGGTGAAGTTGCCACGAGAGGTTGGCAGGTAAAGTATTTCTCGAAAAGTTGGCATGAGAAGTTGGCAGGTAAAGTAATTCTCGAAAAGTTGGCATGAGAAGCTCGCAGGTGTAGTAACTCTCGAAAAGTTGGCATGATAAGCTCGCAGGTGAAGTAACTCCTCGAAAAGTTGGCACGAGAAGTTGGCAGGTGAAGTAACTCTCGAAAAGGTGGCATGAGAAGCTGGCAGGTGAAGTAATTCTCGAAGTTTCGGCATGAGAAACTGGCAGGTGAAGTAATTAACCCTCAAAAAGCTGGAGCGGCGGAGGCGCTCCGCGTGCTACATTTGCAATTTACAGTTGCGATTTTCCAGCCATTTGTATCTAAAAGTTGCGATTTTCCAGCCGGAGCTGCGGGAGCACGCTCCGCGTACTACGTCTGTACTTAAAAAGTGCGATTTTCCAGCCGGAGCTGCAGCAGCCTCCGCGTACTACGTCTGTACTTAAAAGTTGCGATTTTCCAGCCGGAGCTGCAGGAGCACGCTCCGCGTACTACGTTTGTACTTAAAAGCTGCGATTTTCAAGCCGGAGCTGCCGCGGACCAGGGGGGAATCGAACCCGGGACCGCGGGATTGCGAAAGCAGGCGCGCACACCACGAGACAACTTCCAAAAGCCGTTTCGCGAGCAAGAAAATCGCACGGCGCCACAGCGAGAGCGCTTCGACACGCACGATCTCCGCAGAGGGTTCATCGGTCAAGACAGATTCGCACGGCGCCACAGCGAGAGCGCTTCGACACGCACGATCTCCGCAGAGGGTTCGCCGGTCAAGACAAATTCGCACGGCGCCACAGCGAGAGCGCTTCGACACGCACGATCTCCGCAGAGGGTTCGCCGCGCTCAAGACAAATTCGCACGGCGCCACAGCGAGAGCGCTTCGACACGCACGATCTCCGCAGAGGGTTCGCCAAGGTCAAGACAAATTCGCACGGCGCCACAGCGAGAGCGCTTCGACACGCACGATCTCCGCAGAGGGTTCGCCAAGGTCAAGACAAATTCGCACGGCGCCACAGCGAGAGCGCTTCGACACGCACGATCTCCGCAGAGGGTTCGCCAAGGTCAAGACAAATTCGCACGGCGCCACAGCGAGAGCGCTTCGACACGCACGATCTCCGCAGAGGGTTCGCCAAGGTCAAGACAAATTCGCACGGCGCCACAGCGAGAGCGCTTCGACACGCACGATCTCCGCAGAGGGTTCGCCGGTCAAGACAAATTCGCACGGCGCCACAGCGAGAGCGCTTCGACACGCACGATCTCCGCAGAGGGTTCGCCAAGGTCAAGACAAATTCGCACGGCGCCACAGCGAGAGCGCTTCGACACGCACGATCTCCGCAGAGGGTTCGCCGCGCTCAAGACAAATTCGCACGGCGCCACAGCGAGAGCGCTTCGACACGCACGATCTCCGCAGAGGGTTCGCCAAGGTCAAGACAAATTCGCACGGCGCCACAGCGAGAGCGCTTCGACACGCACGATCTCCGCAGAGGGGTGCGTTTCGTAAGCTCCCGTCGGGCCTACCCCCGCCATAAAAAGAAGAAGAATTAAGAGTCGAGAAGTGAAGGTAGAACAGAAAAGTTAGCTTGTGTTTTTAGGATAGTGAAGTAACACCCGACAAATTAGCTTGTGCTTTAGGTAGAACAGAAAAGTTAGCTTGTGTTTTTAGGATAGTGAAGTAACACCCGACAAATTAGCTTGTGCTTTAGGTAGAACAGAAACAGCTTGTGTTGATAGTGAGAACACCCGACAAATTAGCTTGTGCTTTTAGTAGAATGAGATAACAGCCGAAAAGTTGACATGAGAAGTAGGCAGGTGAAGTAACTCTCGACAAGTTGGCATGAGAAGTTGGCAGGTGAAGTAACTCTCAAAAAGTTGACATGAGAAGTAGGCAGGTGAAGTAACTCTCGACAAGTTGGCATGAGAAGTTGGCAGGTGAAGTAACTCTCGACAAGTTGGCATGAGAAGTTGGCAGGTGAAGTAACTCTCGACAAGTTGGCATGAGAAGTTGGCAGGTGAAGTTGGCAGCCGCTTTTAGAAGAAGAACCCTTCGCAATGCTTCCGGGAAAAAGGAAAAGGAACAAAAAAGAAGGAAAACAACTCAACAAGTCCAGTGTACAGGCATCGTCACTGCGCTTTGTTGCTTCTGGACTTTGCCACGTGAGCGTCGCGCCTATCGCTGCCGCTTAAGGTCTTTTGTATGCTGCATGTCGCTTCTACTTATATGTTTAGCGTTATGCAGAGCGAAGCCAATGACTTGTCCCATGAGATAGAGGACGCCCAGAGCTCCCCAAAAAATCAGGAAGCTGCTGGGATCATTTCGGATTTTAGCGACGCGCCGGTCTGAAACCAGTCCGCCGGTTCTCGATGCCGCACCCAGCGGTGCGGGAGATGGAGACCACGCTGATGCCGAACCACTTGCCATTGGAGCACATCCAACTGGATATGAACCAAGAGGACTACGACATGCGCAACGAGGAGCCGCGCATTTGCAGAGGTCCTTTGGGGGACTTCTTCAGTTTTCATAGATCCCAAACCTACTTCTCACCCCGCCAAGGCATGTCTAAGTTTGTGCCGTGCAAATCGAAGACACATTGGCAAGACTGCTCATTTGCTAATATGATCTGTAGAGCGCAGCAGCAGGCTGTTCGGACAATCTCCGGGCGGACTTGGAGCAACCTGCCATCGGTGCTCATTGTGCTTCATGGGAATGGTACACTTTCTGCAGATGTGAGCTAAATTTGTTCATATCACAGAGCACTTGAACGTACCCCTGAAAAGATGTGTGCCCCTGATAGCGGAGCGCTTGGTGCCCAATGAAACAGATCCAGGGCTGCGGGCCTCTCTTTTTCTGGGACCAAGTCTTTTGGGTGGGCATGGTGGGCCTAAAGGGAAACCAAGACTTGGGGGTAGGCTTGCTGATGTTCATAGCCCTCTTGTCAAAAGGGGGAAACAAGCCCTGGGTTGGAATCCAGGGAAGCCAAGGCCTATGTACTTCCACCCTTAGAGCCCACCTCCTGCCTGTTTTTTTTCAAGCGACACGGGAGGATCTGACGCCGGGCCCGGGCGCCTTCACCTCGCCGCCTTCCAACTGCCCGGCGGGGGCGGTACAGCACCCGCAGAAGTGGAGCGAGGACCAGGTCCGCGAGTGGTGGGAGAAGCGCACCAAGAGGCGTCGGAGGGGGTTGGCGAGTTTATAAAAAGAAATACCTGGAAAAACCTATTTCCTTATCAAGTTGGAAATCAAAACGGACAACATCTTGATTGACTGAAGGAGGGGGCGTGAGGCTGGGTCAAGCGGCATTGGGGAAGTGGTAGGAGGTGGGGCCCTGAGCGGCCGCCTGATGAGCGGTAGGAGGTGGAAACGCCATAGTTCACGATGTTGTAGTGAGTTAACATGTGATATATGGCGAGTAGTACAACCTTGCCTGCTTTCATGCTTCATGGTGCCGGAGCAGATGTCACATCGCAAGTATGGGGTTGAACAACGGCTAAGCATCGTCAGAATGGGAAACATGCAACCTTGGAGGCACTAGCAGTGCCCGGCCTCTTTCACCACACTGGGCAGGCTTGACAGAAGCGACATTCCGGGCAACCTTTGCTTGTGGGCAACGCACACAACACCCAAACACTTGGCATTTGAATATAATGTGCTCAACACCAGTAGCCGAGTATGGTAATGACCGCGTGTGCAGACTCTCCATTCTCTTGACGCATCCGGACTCAAGTGGCATTCTCCGATACGCGGCCCTGAAGTGTCCTCGGTACCCTTTGCGACTGAGGCAGTGGAACACACGCCTCTTACCAGGCCACCTACTGTGGATGGACGAAATCCTGCACCACTTTGAAAGCATGGGAAACCACTGTTTGTTAGTATTTACAAAGGAATCATCAGACACCAGGGTGTCTTAGGTGGTGCGAACTGGATTTCGTCCATCCACGGTATGGCTGTCCTGACGCATCCAGAAAGCTCCTGGGGACATGTCCTTGGGCTTGTCTCCCAGGGCCCACCAGCACCCCATGCCGAATCCGTCGATCCGTCGTAGGCGGCCCAACGTCGAGGGTCTCTCCAAGGGCACCGACGGCCGCAACATCATGCGCTGGAACATGAACCGTTTCGAGCAGACCCTCGGAGCAGCGATTTTGGACGAAAGCACGAAGGCCCCGTATGCCTAGATCCCAGTTGCCCACATCAGTAGGCAAACCAGCCATTTGGATTTGGTGTTAAAGGGTGGTTCCCTTGGTTGCCTATACCAGGGAAATGTAAATGGAATCACTGGGTAACTTGTTGCTTTTCCACTGATAAACGGCCACTCGGGGTGTTACAGGGTGGTTTTCTTGGTTGCCTTTATATATACAGGGAAATGGACTGGGTAAATTGCAGCCATTTTGGGTTCGAAAGGGTTCGCTTGGTTGCCTAAGGGAAACTTTTGGACTCACCGGGTATAACTCAAGTTGCTTTTCCGCTGAACAGAGGCCACGGGAGCCACGGAAAGGGCTCAAAGCGACGCATCGGAAAAGTCACTTGATTTTTTTAGTTTTGGGATGCAGATAGGACTGCAGATAGGCTTTTGCGGGATTTTTAGAAAGACAAGGCGAGAGTTGTTTAGTTTTGGGCTTTTGCGGTATTTTTAGAAAGACAAGTTGCGAAGGTCCAGAGTTGCCGATGTCGTCAAAAAACAGTACAAGAGTTGGTTCCCAGACCGGTGGCCACTGTCCAAGTAAGATTTACGCCCATACTGCAGGTGGACAAAATCCATTCGCACGACTCTAAACCCATGGTTGAAACCATTGCTTGTCGGTATTTACGTCGGGGAATCGAATCATTCGAGGGTTTCTGAACCGTGGTGCGATTTCTAACATTTTGTTCATCCACACTAGGGCAGCAGTTCCAATTTGGACTTGTGGGTTCGAGCTGCAGATTCCTTCCCGCCAGCTTGGGACACCAGAAGATTGGCCTGGCTCAAGGGACAGCTGGTTAAGAACAGCATTCTTGTTGGGTTTTAGCGTGAACGACTCAATGAGCTGAACATCTGCACATACGCCTCCATGAGCACATCTTGACTTTCTGTTTGGCGGTGTGACCCGAGAACCAGTTCTCTTCAATGGAAAATATACATATAAGCACATACGCATGCACATATATATATATGTGAGTATACATAACACGCAGAGTAACAGATGAACATGTGCATGCACGCACATCCACATCCACACTCCCACAAGTAAACGCCTAGACTCTTGAGCCAATGCCTGGTTTTTTTCCATCAGGTACCTAATTATCCTGAAGCATGGCCTCATTCCTGCCGAGGATGACGAAAGGCGACAGCCACCTTGCCATGGCCCTCTACCAGGCAGTCGGGAGATGGGGCTTGAGGCTGGTGGCCAGCCAGGTGAGAGAAGTGAAATAAGACCCTCGAGTCCATGAAAAGTATGGCGTATCCCAACATACGGATATGCCGGGATAGCCAAGTTGCTGTTTTCCCGAAAGCATGGCGAAGGGTTCTTCCGCTGGGTTCACTTGAGTTGTTCTCATGAGAGTCATTACAAGGTGTCATTGCAAGGAATCATCATCATGAAAGTCATTGCAAGGAGTCATTGCAAGGAGTCATTGCAAGGAGTCATTGCAAGGAGTCATTGCAAGGAGTCATTGCAAGGAGTCATTGCAAGGAGTCATTGCAAGGAGTCATTGCAAGGAGTCATTGCAAGGAGTCATTGCAAGGAGTCATTGCAAGGAGTCATTGCAAGGAGTCATTGCAAGGTCAGCAAGGAGTCATTGCAAGGAGTCAAGGAGTCATTGCAAGGAGTCATTGCAAGGAGTCATGGCAAGGATTGCAACTTGCACTTGACTCCTTTGCACTTGCAACTTGCACTTGACTCCATGCACTTGCACCTTGACTTGCACTTGGCTCCTTGCACTTGGCTCCTTGCACTTGGCCCCTTGCACTTGCAACTTGCACTCCGTGCACTTTGCACTTGACTCCATGCACTCCTTGCAACTTGCAATGGCTCTCATGACTCCTTGCAATGACTCCTTGCAATGACTCCTTGCAATGACTCTTTGCAATGACTCTTTGCAATGACTCCTTGCAATGACTCCTTGCAATGACTCCTTGAAACAAGCAAGGAGGCAAGTGCAAGTTGCAAGTGCAAGGAGTCAAGTGCAATTGACTTGCGAGGAGTTAAAATCTCTTCTTAGGGCGACGACACTACACGAAAATCGACCCTCTGCGGGGATCGGCGTGGTCGAGGTGCAAAAACTCGAGGTTTTTTGCGATGTTTAACCTGCTCGCGCGACCCTCTGCGGGGATCGGCGTGGTCGAGGTGCAAAAACCCATGGTTTTTTGCGATTTCTGGTGCTCGCGCGACCCTCTGCGGGGATCGGCGTGGTCGAGGTGCAAAAACCCATGGTTTTTTGCGATTTCTGCGGTGCTCGCGCAACCCTCTGCGGGGATCGGCGTGGTCGAGGTGCAAAAACCGATGGTTTTTTGCGATTTCTAAAGTGCCCGCGCGACCCTCTGCGGGGATCGGCGTGGTCGAGGTGCAAAAACCCATGGTTTTTTGCGATGTTTAACCTGCTCGCGCGACCCTCTGCGGGGATCGGCGTGGTCGAGGTGCAAAAACTCGAGGTTTTTTGCGATTTCTGCGGTGCTCGCGCAACCCTCTGCGGGATCGGCGTGGTCGAGGTGCAAAAACTCGAGGTTTTTTGCGACTTTTGTTGTTCGAACTGGTCCTCGGGAGTTGTCTCGTGGTTCGCGCGCCTGCTCCCGGAACCGGCGGGTCGCGGGTTCGATTCCTCCCTGGTCCGCGGGCGGGCGTCGCAAGATGCAACTTGCATTTTAAAGCAACTTGCGCAGAGCAACTTGCGCAGAGCAAGTTGCACAGAGCAACTTGCGCAGACCAACTTGCACCGACCAGTTTGCGCAGAGCGCCTTGCCTAGAGCAACTTGCGCAGAGCAACTTACGCAGAGCAACTTGCACAGAGCAACTTGCACAGAGCAGCTTGCACAGAGCAACTTGCAGGGAGCGCAATTTGCACAGAGCAACTTGCAGGGAGCCACTTGCAGGGACCAACTTGCCGGAGCAACTTGCGCGGAGCAACTTGCGCAGAGCAACTTGCACAGTGCAACTTGCGTAGAGCAACTTGCGCAGACCAACTTGCACCGACCAGTTTGCGCAGAGCACCTTGCCTGGTGCTGTCTCGCGCTTGCTTCACAAATGCTTCGTGTAGGGAAAAAGAACGCATCCTGCAGCGTTGGGCCGACCTCGCTTGCGATGTTCTGCTTTCGGGCCAACCGTGGTCTAGTTTTTCAGTCACTGTTGCTGGGTTTTTGGGGTAAAGTGGATGGAAAGAAGCAGCAACTGGCGATCCAGGCGGTTTTCAAAGGCCAACAATCAGTGCCGTTCGGATGGCTTCAGATTGCCAGTGCCAGTTGGCATGGGGGCCTGGTGGCACATGAATCTTATCCGGCAGTTGGCCAGCTTGCACGTTTCTGGCAGCGACGAAGCTATTCAGGGGTCTCGAGGCTTCGTCACTCAAAGATGTGCGACGTTTTCAAGGCCCTAAAGCAACTGAGCCACGCAACATTTCAACGATTTCAATTGGCCTTGAAGCACAGGGGTGAACTCGTGTTTGAAGTTATCCCTTTCGCTGATATTATACTGTTGACCCCTTTCGCTGCGGACCCCATGTTCATCATCCCCAGTTTATTAATAGGGGGGAATCAGACCACTTTTGCACCCCTATGAATAAACTGGTGGGTTGATGAAAATCTGGGTTCGCCATTACCTCTTTTCCAGCGACGAGTCTTCGCCCTGACAGCAGAGAAGCCGGTGGACGGCAGGACCTCCGGAACGAGGTGCAGCGCTTCGAGCACTTCCGGAAGACTGGGGTTGTGCTGAAGGACTGGAATTTCGGAAATTTCGAGAACTGAGCCACGTGTTGAGAGAAAACCCGGGTACCCATTTTTCCCCAGACGATTCCTTCGGGAAGCTCCCGAAGGGACCCCGAAATGGAAGACCAAGGGTCCCATTTACAGGATCGGCCTTCTGGGAGCTTCCGGCTGTTAGCCTGAGGGTGTAGATGAAGGTTAGTTTATGGGCCAGTCCCAGCCGGAAATCGTTGCGCAGATCCGTTCTTGAAGCATGGTTCTGGGTTCGCCATTTTTGCACCAGGTTTTGAGCAAGTGACTCATGGGTTTGTTTGTTCCCCAGCTGAAAGTTGTTCGGTCTCTGCCCAGATAGGCTCGGGGTGGTTTGGGGCAGCGTTCAGGAAGGGCTCAAAAGGAGGGTTCCAGGGGGTCTGTTTTTTTGAGCTGGTTTTTCATGGACAAGGGGCCCTGAAAAGCAAGAGGACGGTCATCTTTCAAAACCATCCTGTTCATGGATGGTTGCAAGGTTTTCTTCTTGAGGGCTTCTTCTCCCTTTACCCAGCTTCCCCGTAGTTGATGGTTTGGATTGGTGGTTTGGTGGTTTGGAGGCTTGGTGGCTTGGTGGTACGGTGCTTAGGGAGTGGTTTCCCACTTACCCTCCGCAAGAACCAGGGCTTCAAATCCCAAACCAATCAAGGGTTTGCTACCGCCGACAAAGGGTGTGGGTTTTTCCTACTGTGGCTCCAAAATCGCCCAGAAACCCGAGGGAATGATTCGATTCCCCAAGGTAAATACCAAGAAAAACGTCATGGTTTCAGACGTGCTTTGAAAGTGGTGCAAGATTTCGTGCACCCACAGCATGTTCTCCGTTTTGGGTATCTTTAAACACTCTTTTTGGCCCATTTGAGGTCACTCATGGTTTCAACTCATTTCGTTTCCACCATGGGAAACTCATTTCGTGGTGCGACTTCGAACGGATTTCGCAACCACCCACAGTGTGGTATTGTGGTTGGACAAAATCCATTTCGCACCACTTCGGGAACCCTGGAATGATGATTCCCTGTAGATACCAACAAACAATGGTTTCCCATGGTGGCAAAGTGGTGCGAAATGGATTTCGCAACCACCCACAGTAGTTCTGGGAAAGGTAGGCCTGCAACGGGAGCGGGCAGGCGTCACCCATCGCGGTGCCGGAGAAGCGCACGTCCAAAAAGGAGAACTTTCAGCCCCCGGTGAGGTGCGGTGAAAGAACCACGGGTCAAGTTGGCCCCTTTTTGGAGGTAAAAGGAACCCCGTTTAAAAAAGAAAGGGGGGGTCCTCTATTTTGACACATGTATCATGTACGTATGATATACACATATTTACACATACATATCCATGTTAAAATAGTTCTATCATGGGCGAAGGTGGCGAATCACTGGTTCAGATGTCCCATCTCTAGGAAGCCCATCGCAATGATGCTCGTGCTGCATGTTGGCACCACATCAGCAAAGTACGAATGCTTCTTGAGGCGGCAGGACAAGTGTTTGTGGGGTGTGCTGGAGCACCGGATGAATCCGGAAGACCATGTGGATGGATCCACTTCCGCGCTTCGCACTTGGAAACCAGGGGTTGAAACCCATTCTTTGTAGGCATAGGTGTCCTTTTTGGTTGCTTTGTTTGAAAAAATGATGGCGATTCCTGGTTTACCTGGTGGTTTCATCTACCAGGGAAACCCATCTATTTACCCCAAAAGGACACCAATCTTTGTAGGTATTTACGTCGGTGAATGATCCGAAACCAGGGGGGTCTGTGTGGTGCAATGTCTGGATTTCGCAACCATCCATACGAAACCTGCACCACAGGGGTGGATTCCTGGTCAGTTCTTTTTCAGAAAAAAACCGGTCGCTTTCCCTGGGTAAAGGAGAATTCGGATCCCTGGAACCTTCCCCAGAATTAGCTCCCCCTTATCCTTTTTTGCTTTTTTTGGGGGTCCCCTTTGTTTTCCACTAACCAGGCAAAAATATATATTTTTTGCTGGGGTCCTAATTCCAGCCAAGGAAAGAATGGAAATGGAAGGTACCCCTACCACATCCCACAGAGCCACAGAGCCCCGAGATCAAACCGCAGGCGCGAGGTCACGGAGGTGAAAGCGGCCACCGCACCGCGTGAGAAGCGGCCAGCTGTGGGGCTGAAGAAGGACGGGGCGTTGAAGTCGCGTTGAGGCCACCAATCCCAGCATGGCATGGATACAGCCCGTTCCTCAGTTGTTTAAAGCCGACCTTCTGACCTTCTGGTGTTTCATGGTTTTCCCATTTTGGTCCATATTTAGTCATGGCCCCAAAAGGTTAACCTTTTAGTTCCAGGTCCTTTGGGCAACTGAGGTTCTCCCTTGACTTACTTCCTGAGTAAAAACGGACTTGATATTCTTCTTGGGCGGAAGACCATTTTAGTGATAGACAAAAAGTGTAGACTTTTTTCTGGCATATCCACTGAGGAAGTGAGTTGATTAGGCCCCCTAAAACAAGTTGTTTCCCAGACCCCCCAATTCGATGCTGACAAATTGTAAACTAGCAGAATGTCACGCCAGGTCCGAGCCCAGTCGCACTAGGGGCCCGCGTTGAAGCCAGTTCAAAGGCCAGTTCAGCAAGGCCCCCACGCCTGAGTGGTTCAAATCCCTTGAAACTACATTCTGGAAGCTGGTCCTTTAGGTTGGACGACGCCCTATTTGTCAAAGGCACCCAGTTGTTGCCCCCCACATCCGCAAACCCCCATAGCAATGAAAGTTGTTCTTTTTCTGCATTTGTTTTCTCGTTTTGACCAGCGGCGCGTTTTTATTTTTCGGGGGCAGGGATTGCACCTTGAAGCTTCCAGGTATCCCAGAGGTGCCTTCTGGTGGGATGAAGGGTTGCCAACATGGAACATTGACAGATGGAACCTCCCCTAGGAATCTCCTTTTGGGATCAGACCCCCTGCACAAAAGCATGCCCCACAAGCTCACGGTTTGTCTGATTTGACAAATTTTGTCACTCGACATGTGCCAGCTTTTTCCCTTCGCTGAGAAGTCTGATGACTGTCCCATCTCAAGAAACACACGAAGGCCTCTAAGAATTTTCTTTGGCTTCACGCGACCTGTTCGACCAGAGGGGCCACTTCGCTTCCTGCGAAAATCACATCCCCCCCTTCAAGAGGGCCTCTTTCTTGCTCGAACTCGTCGGTAAATGTTCCTGTAAATGATGTCAACCAAGAGCCACCTTGTCATAGGTAGATTCCCCCAAAACGACTGGGGTTTGTGGGTTCCATGCTCATTTGCAGTCTGCCTCCCACAGCAGACCGTATGGCTCTTTATGTTTCCTGTTGGGTTCCTTTTAAAGCAACCTGGAACATAGCTGGTTTTGCTTTTGGTGTCATTTCAATTGAGCTAGAGAGGTGCACCTTCAAACAACGCCCCGCAAACCAACAAACCCAGCCACCCACCCACCACACTTTGCCCAGGAGCCCAGCGTGAAGCGTGCAGTGCCCAAGGCCATGCGACGCGCCTCCAGCAACAGCGGCACCAAGATGACCCACGCCGTCACCACCAAATCCGAGGGACACTGGGACTAGAAAGGTTTCACCAAGAGTCTGCCGTTTTTGGTTTGGTGTACCCGGTTTTGGGGTGGTTTCAAGGGACAACGCATTTTGGATTCCCCTGTAAGGAAGCCCTCTGAATTGTGTCTTTGGTTTCTGCTTTGGGGTTGTGATCTCATTTGCTTGGTTATTTTAGTGATGCTGATGAATCATTTTTTGTCAAAAGGGGGGGGCTTCCAGATGAAATGATATTGTGGATGGACGAAATCCTCCTCAGAGACCCTGGAAGGATGTTTCCCTTGTAATACCAACAAACAGTGGCTTCCCATAGTTTCCAAGTGGTGCAGGATTTCGTCCATCCACAGTATGTCCGTGAGAGAGGGCTTTCACCTTCTCAATCGAACAGGGCGCAGGGCAGCAACTGAGCCACTTTTTTCGTAGGTATTGATTGTGACTCAACTGACTTGGTTGTCTTGAGGGCTCAAGCTCACATCTTCTCTTTCTTCACTTGACCCAGAAGGCTTGAGTTGGTTGAGTTCTGCTGTTGTGTTTCTGAACTCATATTATACTAGCCCGTAAGCTCTGGATGGGTTCATGTTCTCGGATAGGTTTGTTCGACACATGCTCCTTGCTTTCGACACCTGATGCTTGACGCACGTAGCATACTGTGGACGCAATCCGTTTCGCGGATTTCGCAGAAACGGATTTTGCACCGCTGTTGAGAATACCAACAAACGTTATGGTTTCCACCATGGCAACTCATTTCGGGGCGTAAATTTGAACGGATTTCACAACCATCCACAGTTCTAGGGCTTGATTCCTTGTCCATTCTTGTCAACCATGGTTCTTTTCAGAGTCCTGGTGTTTCCCCTGGGTTTTTGAGACAATTTGCCGAAAACAAATGGACAGAGGGTACTTTTTGAACAGAGGCTCGCTATTCCCGTGGCTCGCCACGCCCTGGAAAGAGTGGGGAAGGAGCCCCAGGGCCCTTTCTCACCCTTCTTTTGGGAGGGTTCCCCTACTAAAATAGACCAAAAAGGAAAAAGGTGGTACCAACTTCTTCTAAGCTGAAGGTGCCTTTCAGGTAGCTTCGTTCCGTCCCATCCGGACAGGAGCTCCGGAGCGGCTGGCCTGTGCGCGGGCGCGCTCCAGCTCGCGGCCCAGCCCGGAGCGGAAGTGCAAATCCATGCAGCCGGAGCCGGAGCCGGAGGCATGGAGCGCGTGGCAATTTCCGCGGCGAGCGCGGCGTGCGGCGTTCGCGTGGGCGAATCGGCGAATCGGCGAGTCTGCGAAGTGGTGGTTGGGGTTTGGGGTTTTGGAATGAGTGTGGTTTTCCTTGGTGCGAGAGATGTCAGGGAATGAGAAATGGATAGAAATGGAATGACCCCGAGATTCACCATCCAACTGGTGGTTTCCTGTAAGGGGAGCCCTGAGTTCATTCCCACATTCCCTACTGAGCACCAGTAAGTTTCGGGTTTGGAGCAAAGGAGCTGGCCGGGCATACCCTTTGGGGTTGGTCTAAAGGGCAACACGGACAACGAAAGAGACAAATAATGCATTTTTGTTCACCTCCCCCCCTTTTGGCTATGGTGTGATGGTTGGCCCTGTCCTTCGTGGGATTTCTGCCCCCAAAGCCACTGCCCCCTGTGCAAAATGGGGTGTATACCTTTAAAACATTATTGCTGTTGGTTTAACACCCCCGCCCGTTGTCCCTAGCAGGGGGTTCGGGAGAGAATAGTTAGCGGGAATTGAAAGGGCAAGCCGCTTAGTGTGCAACTGACCAGCCTTGGTGATTACTTCTTGTGTACAACTGCACCCGCCCATGCGCGTTCCCAGGGGAAGAGAAGACTATGACAACCTTGTGGGATGACTGACTCTAAAGGGTTACTGTACGGGCAGAACATATTGGAATCGGGTTGTCGGGTGATTATATTAACATTCAGTTAAGTCATTATCAAACTTGGTAATCAATCCATCTTTCAAGTGGGTTATACCAGGGTTATAAAGGGTTATCAGGAGGCCAATTCCGGTTGTCCTAGTTGTAACCCTGCTCAAAACAGGTTTGATCCTATGTGTCATTTCCGCCGACCGCGTTTCTTTCACCGGGGACCAGCGAAGAGCGGGGGGTGGCCGACGTAGGAGCGGCGGACCATGGTGATGGAGGACCTGGCGGACGCGGCGTTGCACCGGCTGAGCTCTCCCACCAAGCGGGAGGCGTCGGTTGGCTTCGGAACCTATGGCTTTGGTAACTCGTCGGACGGTCGTCTCACTTTTCGGGTTCGGCTTCCAGGCTTTGGTTGGCTTCGGCTGGGTACCAGTGGCTTTGGCAGTAGCTCGTCGGACGGTTTTGGGGATGTCAAAGTCGGTGTGGTTCCATTTAATCTATGACCTATGACTTAGGTGACTTTGATAGAGTCCTTTTGCTTCCTGGACTTTAACACTTTTTGGAAAGACCATGTTGGTGGCTAATAACAAAGTTTGGACTTGTTTGGGCCAATCCACTCCGGAAGTGAGTTTCGGCGGTTGATCAGGTTTTGAGGATATCAAAGTCAGCTGGGTGTGGTTCCCTGTGACCTATGACCTATGACTTAGGTGACTTTGATGAAGTCATGGGGCCAGTTCTGCAGGTGTCCCTATACGTCTCATTTTGGTGGTTTTAAACATCTTCCTTTTTGCCCATGAAAGGTGAGTGTCCCTCAGCTTGGTGGGGGGTGATGTGTTAAGGGGAACTACAGGGAGCGCTGTTTTGGGACAATCTCGTTGCAGTACCACGGCTTAGTTTGTGTGGTGTTCATGGCGAAGTGGCTTCAGCAAGGTGCCTACTTCCAGCGTGGGCCAGAACTGGGAAGCGGTTGGAAAGGATGTGAGGAGACCAGAAGGAGCCAGCCACGTAGAACAGGGGACCCATTTCTCTCCTTCAAAAGAGTGTTATATATTGGGGTTGACTAAATACTGAAGCATTGTCAGATACGATTTGTTTGCACCAGATGGCCAAGAGTTTCAGCCAACCATTTTGGAGTGGCCAGCTGTTTTGACACGCCTGTCACCTTGCACCAAAAAACCGCCAAAAAAGAAGCCGCCAGGTGTCCATCCACTCGGCCCGGTCTCACAAGAGCGAGCCGGAGCGCAAGGCGGGGAGCTCCATGCGGGAGCTTTCTGCGAGCGGAGTTGGGGGCCCCATCCCAGATGGGAATCCCCTGAACGCCAAACGTGATGACTTTTTCCCCAGGATGTTTAATAAGTTTGCCGGAATTGCGGAAGATTCCAGAAAACTTCCAGAGACCAGGACCGCAGCCCCCGTTTTCGGGGGCGGCCCTTGACACACCCCGAAACCATTTTTTTTTGCCCATGGCCCACGTAGGCCGAGGAGGTGTCGCGGCGGCCCAAGTCCGCGCGACTGAAGGCCGACAAGGAGGACGAGGCAAGGGCCTGGACTTCCCAACTTTTCCATGGGATTCCATGGAGGGAATATGGCTGTGGTTGTCAAAACCGTTTTGGAATCCCATTTTGGTTGGTAGGTGCATTCACCACCCATTTTAGAACCTATTTTAGTGGGGATTAGGATGTTCACTGGGGGTACGATTTGGATTTTGACCCATGGCCATATTCCAAGCCAAGAGACCTTCAAATCCCCCAACCGTTCCGAGCCAACATAGGATCAGTGACCGGGATCTATGGCCTTCCAGTTCCTCATATTGATGCTTTGAGCATCACCCCACCACAACAAAGCTCAAGTTTGCATCGGCACAAAAGGTGAAAAACATATTGTGGAGTGCCGTTCACAAAATCCTGCAGTTGGTAGGTGGCTTATCAACCATTATTCAAATCAGGCTTCCTCTATCCCAAGAAGTACTGTGGGTGGACAAAATCCAGAAATCGCACCACCTTGAAACCATGGTCGAAACCATAAGGTTTGTTGGTATTGCAGGGGAAATTATTGCCATCCACAGTATACCAAGGCGTGAACGAACCATGAAGGTAAATGTGGGTAAGTGGCTTGCAGTTTGGGAGTGTTTGGGTTTACCAAAGTTTGTTTTCAGTGTTGAGCCATCAAGCATGAAACATATTGGCGAGAAAACAGGATTGGTGAAGGAGAAATAAATAAATAAAGTCACTGAGGAATGTGATAATGCCTGGCAGCAGACGGACTCGCTCTGCAGGCGGAGGTACCCAGGAAATAGAATCAGCCATGATATGAGTTCCCTATCTCTCATTCTATCTTCAATGGTCGGAGCTGCCAATGGAGGGAGATTTCCCGCAGCCGACTTTAAGGCTTGACTCGAGGTTCTGATCCATCTCTTTGCTGCGGCCGGAGGTGGGAAAGAGTCTTATCTCCTGTAAACGCATGCAATAGGATCAGAATAGAAAACAAGTCATAAACCTGAATATAGGATGAAGATAAGATTCACAAACTAGCCCAGTTGGGGAATTAGAACCTCAGAAATCTAGACCTCTTCCTTGATTTGTTGAAATATTGAGCTCAGCGGTTGGTCGCCACTTTGGAGTGAGTTGTGTGATCCTTGGACAAGTCCAGCGAGGGCGGCTGGATGTTCAGTTTCGGGAGGCCTTCTCCCTTTCCTCCCTAAGATCTTTCCCCCCCTTTCCTCCCTAAGATATTTTTCCTCCTTTCCCTGTTAAGATCCTTTCCCGTAAGGGATTGCCAGTTGTTGCGGAAAGCGGAAGGATGCCAATCCAAACCACCGACTAAGGGCTACCTGAGTACAATCAAGCCCCTCCCACAAACCAAACAGAAATTAGCCCTGAACCGACATTCCACTACGTAGAAAACCATGTTAGTCAGCAGTGGCCCATGTTTCGCTTTTGCTCAGCGGGTTCACCGCAAGAAATAGTTATCCGAGAAAGCTGTAACTCCAGTTGTCAGAAGAGGAGGGTGGCGCGAACCCTCCCATCCCGGCTCTGACAGAACTAGCCTGCCCCTTGCTCATGTTCCATCAATGCATGCCAGTCAGCAAGCAGAATCCTTGGTGCCGTCCATCTTGTTTGGTTGTCTGTGTTGAGGGTACCCGCTGTGGGCGTTTGATTCCACAAAGAACCAAGATCCATCCCAGCGATTTTGGGCTTTGCCAAACCTGACTTGGGCTCGAGAGGAGGAGACGAGGCAGATGTTTGACAAGCGGGAGTTGCGGAAGCGGCACAAGGCGCCTCGGAAGGGTTTCGGGAGGACCCCGCCCCAAAGCCTTTGGCGGTGATTTATTTTGCTCGGTTCTGCTACTCCTCGGTTTCATGAAGGTTCTACTTGGCCTCTTCCAAGCATTGTGAGCAGTGGGCCCAGAAGTCAATGGATTCTGGCGTCCTCCCTTTGGCTCTGAGCAAATGACCGACCAATGGGTTTCCCCCTTCGTCTGAAAGAGAAGTAAGCGCTCTTGGGAAGCTTAAGACAAGGCGTCTCCTTTCACTACGCCTCGTTCTGCAAGGCTGCCAGATTGTGAGAAAGCGCTATGGCGCAAGGTAGGCTCAAGTCCTACTAGTCCTACTTGCTTTCTGCGGTAGGCTGCCAGGTTGTAGGCTCGAGTCCTGGGCTATGGCGCAAGGTAGGCTCAAGTCCTACTAGTCCTAGTTGCTTGCTGAGTTTCGTCAGTATGTGGGAAACCAGGAATATGCAGAGAGCACCACAGCAATGCAGGTAACTCCAAGATCGTTTTTTAGGAGCAAGGGGCTACTTCGTCACACACCTCCCGAAAATTTTTGATCTAAGGCCACCCCCCGCACCCTTCGCGAATTTGAGGCTGCACTCCCAGGAGGGAACCTTCCCAGACGCTGGCCCACACCTCTTTTAGCAGCGAAAAGGGCGAATCTCCCACCAACATGGAACTGCAAACAGGCCCTTTCCAAGAGGAAAGTCGTCTTACAGGGGTGTGTGCACAAACTGTTAGCTGGTAGGGTCGGGTACCTCAAGGACCCTTCCCCAGTGACCCACGAGGACCTCTTTGAGGACTACGTGCAGCGCTGGCGACAGCGCCAGCCTGAGACCCCACCCAACGAGGCGGAGCCCTGCCGGGTCCGCGTCTACGTGCGGAAGCGCCCGCTCTTCGGGTACGAGCAGGAGGCGATGGGGCGTGGAATGGGTAACTGCCATTGGGTTGGATCTGTAGACTTTAAAACTTTTTGGGGAATCAAGGGGGGGTTCCGCTAAACAAACAAGTTAAGCTTTTTGCAGAGGGGTCAACAACAACCAAGGGTAACAAGGCGTTTTTTAGGTGGCGGGATCACCCGGGGTTTATCCCCACTGTGATACAAGGGAATCTTCTCCTTTATTCATGGGGGGGTAGTCTTTGGGAAGCCCTTTCTGCTGTATCACAGAAGTGGTCATTTTCCCACAGCCCTGCGTCACCGTCCTTGTTGTTTGTTTTCGTGTTTGTGTGTGTATTGTCCACGAATTTGACAGGCTGCCTTGTTCTAGTGGTGTCCCACTACGGGTTACGGATTGGGAACCGCCCATATTGAAACTACCCAGAGATACCAACCCACTTGCAGGTCTCCGCTTTGTCAAAGCCGCCTTTGCCCAACATGAACCTAGGTCCCCCAGTGGCCTTCTCTCCCCCTTTTTGGGGGAGATTCGGTTCCCCTAAACTAGACTACAGAGCAAAGTGGGTACCAACTTATTCTAAGCTCTCAAATCTGGAGGACCATATGAGCCACAAGCAGTCCCAGCCAGAAATAGTTGCGGCCGCCTGCTGAATTCTTTGCATGGTTCTGGGTAGACCATTTTAATACCCAGTTGAACAAAACCAACCGGGCCCCCTTTCCCCACAGCTGGAACTCTGTGCCACGCTCTCAGAGCAAGCCGTTGCCGGAGGCCGAGGAGTTCGACGTGGCCACAGCGAAGGGACGGAAGATCGTGATACACAACTGTCTCACTAAGGCCTTTGGGCGTGGAAGACCACTTGACTGCTATTGGGTTGGATCTTAGGACTTTAACTTTTTGGGAAATAAAAGGGTTTGCCACTAAACCCCCGAAAAGTTGAGCTTTTTGCAGGGGGTCAACAGCAACCAAGATTATTATTTTTTAAGGAGCCCCGGAAGGTCAAATTCTATGTGAAAAAGGTGGGAGGGTGGTTTGTTTGATGGGGCCTTTGTGGGGAAGGTTTCTGAAATGTTGTTGAGGACACCTCTGCGCGACCAAACATCCGGCCAACAGTGAGAACAGCCAGCCACCGGCCGGAGACAGGGAGTCCTGGAAGACCATTTTCCTTTTAAAGGAACCCCCGAACGTCGGGTTCCATGTTAATTGGTGGGAGGATAGTTTTTTGGATGACTTATCAGCTCCGCACAAGATCAGACAACTTTGACACAACACGCCAGCAGCAGGAAAAGAGAGGTGTAATGTCTGTAGCTGTAATGTTTGTAGCCTGTGCTTCGAGGGCAAAGGTTTTTCAACATGTACCATTTGTGGGAGTATCCTCTTCACCGTTGCTTTAAAGTGAAACTCACAGTAAAACTTATGTTGACCCCGATTGATAAACCCTTGTTCATTGATATGAGGGTGTTTTCCTCCAAAAGTGATGAATCCCCACTACAAGCAGGAGCAGGGGTTTACTAATCCGGGGTCAACATTATTTCCGGGGTCCCAATATTTTGGCACCTACCCATTTCAGCGAAAAAAAATCCACTGGGCCGCACATGTGAGTTTTGTTCCCCACATCTTTGTGTGGGGTTCTTACTTTTTCCGCTCGTCGTCCGCGCGCCGCGTCTCCTCCTTCTCCCGCTCGTCTCCGTCTCACTCACTCACTCACTCACTCACTCACTCACTCACTCGCTCACTCTCACTCACTCACTTACACTCACTCAACTCACACTCACTCACTCACACTCACTCACTCACACTCAGTCACTCACACTCACTCACACTCACTCACACTCACTCACTCACACTCAGTCACTCACACTCACTCACACTCACTCACTCACACTCACTCACTCACTCACTCACTCACTCACGCTCACTCACACTCACTCACTCACACTCACTCTCATTCACTCACTCTCATTCACTCACTCACTCACTCACTCGCTCACTCACTCACTCACACTCGCTGACTCACGGCAGCTGTCTAGAGGGACAGGATGTTGTCGCGCGCGCGGCGGGGGGTGTGCGAAATCGTGGCAGGCGCAGCACTTTGGCGATGCCGTTGCGAAATCGTGGCAGGCGCAGCACTTTGGCGATGCCGTTGCCGAAGTCGTGGCAGGCGCAGCATTCTGTGCATCTGGGTGTGTGTTTGTGTGGCAGGGGTCGCATTCGGCAGCTGTCTAGAGGGACAGGATGTTGTCGCGCGCGCGGCGGGGGGTGTGCGAAATCGTGGCAGGCGCAGCACTTTGGCGATGCCGTTGCGAAATCGTGGCAGGCGCAGCACTTTGGCGATGCCGTTGCCGAAGTCGTGGCAGGCGCAGCATTCTGTGCATCTGGGTGTGTGTTTGTGTGGCAGGGGTCGCATTCGGCAGCTGTCTAGAGGGACAGGATGTTGTCGCGCGCGCGGCGGGGGGTGTGCGAAATCGTGGCAGGCGCAGCACTTTGGCGATGCCGTTGCGAAATCGTGGCAGGCGCAGCACTTTGGCGATGCCGTTGCCGAAGTCGTGGCAGGCGCAGCATTCTGTGCATCTGGGTGTGTGTTTGTGTGGCAGGGGTCGCATTCGGCAGCTGTCTAGAGGGACAGGATGTTGTCGCGCGCGCGGCGGGGGGCGTGCGAAATCGTGGCAGGCGCAGCACTTTGGCGATGCCGTTGCGAAATCGTGGCAGGCGCAGCACTTTGGCGATGCCGTTGCCGAAGTCGTGGCAGGCGCAGCATTCTGTGCATCTGGGTGTGTGTTTGTGTGGCAGGGGTCGCATTCGGCAGCTGTCTAGAGGGACAGGATGTTGTCGCGCGCGCGGCGGGGGGCGTGCGAAATCGTGGCAGGCGCAGCACTTTGGCGATGCCGTTGCGAAATCGTGGCAGGCGCAGCACTTTGGCGATGCCGTTGCGCGTGGCAGAGCACTTTGGCGATGCCGTTGCCGAAGTCGTGGCAGGCGCAGCATTCTGTGCATCTGGGTGTGTGTTTGTGTGGCAGGGGTCGCATTCGGCAGCTGTCTAGAGGGACAGGATGTTGTCGCGCGCGCGGCGGGGGGCGTGCGAAATCGTGGCAGGCGCAGCACTTTGGCGATGCCGTTGCGAAATCGTGGCAGGCGCAGCACTTTGGCGATGCCGTTGCCGAAGTCGTGGCAGGCGCAGCATTCTGTGCATCTGGGTGTGTGTTTGTGTGGCAGGGGTCGCATTCGGCAGCTGTCTAGAGGGACAGGATGTTGTCGCGCGCGCGGCGGGGGGTGTGCGAAATCGTGGCAGGCGCAGCACTTTGGCGATGCCGTTGCGAAATCGTGGCAGGCGCAGCACTTTGGCGATGCCGTTGCCGAAGTCGTGGCAGGCGCAGCATTCTGTGCATCTGGGTGTGTGTTTGTGTGGCAGGGGTCGCATTCGGCAGCTGTCTAGAGGGACAGGATGTTGTCGCGCGCGCGGCGGGGGGTGTGCGAAATCGTGGCAGGCGCAGCACTTTGGCGATGCCGTTGCGAAATCGTGGCAGGCGCAGCACTTTGGCGATGCCGTTGCCGAAGTCGTGGCAGGCGCAGCATTCTGTGCATCTGGGTGTGTGTTTGTGTGGCAGGGGTCGCATTCGGCAGCTGTCTAGAGGGACAGGATGTTGTCGCGCGCGCGGCGGGGGGTGTGCGAAATCGTGGCAGGCGCAGCACTTTGGCGATGCCGTTGCGAAATCGTGGCAGGCGCAGCACTTTGGCGATGCCGTTGCCGAAGTCGTGGCAGGCGCTGCATTCTGTGCATCTGGGTGCTCTGTAATCGCATCCATACAAGGGGCGCACGGTACATGTGTGTGGACATTTGAACTCACATCCTTGGGAAAAACATAGCATGTGGGGTTATCCGGTCCTTTAATTTTTTTGTCACCCCGCAAGAGACCGCGGTGACGAGTCGGAGTCGGAGCCCGTTTCGGAGTCAGAGTCCGTTTCGGCCAGGCAGATCTGAGATCTCTATTCATCTCGCACATGGGATTCCAGTTCGCAGAAGTCTTTGGTGGCTCAGCTCCCAAAAAAAGCAGCGGGAGCATGGGCGCCTTTTTTAGACTAGTTTGAATAGAAATTGATGGCACTGGTGTAGATTGGTCTTATGGGTATGGGTCAAAACTAGTGAGCACCAGGAAATTATTGGACCGCAAGTTAAATCGTCCATGTTTCTATTGACCAGGCAAGCCATTTGGGGGTTACCCTATTTTTGATCTACAGCCAAGCACCCTTGGCTGAAGAAGATCCCGCCTTTTGTTTCCCCACACAAAGAGCAAACAAAAGCCTGCGGAGATGCTCTTGATGGTTTGAATCACGCCTTTCTCTCTTGGCAGCTTCTAGCCATCCGGATGGCTCCTTAGCTTGTTTTGTCGTTTTCAGTGGTTGGATTTCCGACTTGATCCCGCTCAAAGTTAAACTTTTCGCGGGGGATCTGAGGATTTCCCAGTGTAAGAAGGAATAGAGAACCAACATGGCTTCAGCGAATTTGTTGTTTTTCAGATGTAAGCTGATGCGAATGGAACAGATTATGAGAGGACTTGAGACACTCAGGATATATGTCAGGTGCTTTCCATCCTGTCAATCGTGTTCGATGTGTTTCTTGGCTCGTGTCTACATATACGTATGTTATATGCATGTAATCGCTTCCCCCATCGGAAATTCCGGGCGCCCCTCTAAACATAAAATATGGTTGAGTACTTTGTGGCAAAGATATGCAGGGCTCCTTAACAGATCTCCATGTTGCAACCATTTGAACCATGGCTTTTTCAACACCAAAATAAAGTTGGAAGCCACCATTTACAAGTTGCAATGTTCAGGTGTATTCGCTGATCCCTGAAATTTGTCTGAATCGGATCCCATGCGGTCTCCACTATGGTCCTCGGCCTGTTTGCGCCTCGTTTCCCTTTGCCAGGCGCAAAGAATTCAAGTTGAGCCAGGTGAACTTGGAATTGCAAGCTACAATCGTATCTTACAAGACGGGAAGTGCTGAAAGGATTCATAGGGTGGATATACTACCAGGGGGAAGGAGTTTATGCAATACACATATCTCGATAGATGCGTGTATATATGTATATATATATATACACATATATATATATGTGCATTTGAATATGTGCTATGCATTGCATAATGACACGCAGCCAGTGAGCAATTCTTCCGAATGGAATCTCCAGATTCGGGAGCTATCGGCCGGGCTCAGGCGAGGCGGCGTCGGATGAGGAGGTCTACCAGTCGACCGCCTGCCCCGCGGTGCAGCACCTCCTGCAGAACAAGGCTCGCTCCGATGGTCTGGCTTCGGTCGACTCGGGGGGGGGGGGTAAATATCGGAGAACCCTCAGTTGGTGGCTTGGATTGGTGGTTTGGGATTGGAACCCTTTCTTGTAGCGGGTAAACGGGGTTTCCCACTGCCTGCACCTAAACTCCCCCCCTCCCCGGCCCCCTTTGTGACCAATCCAGGGTCGACCGGGGTAAATGGGGTTTCCCACTGCCACCCCACCTTTCCCAGGCGAAGGGAGGGTCAACCCATTGGAAGGTGATACTGAAAATGGTCCTCAATGCTGCTGATAGCTGCTACCGTTGCTGGGTTCAAATCCAGAAATCGCACCGTTCAGGAACCCAAGGGAATGATTCGATTCTCCAACGTATAATATCAACAAACGTTATACTTTCAACCGTGCTTTCAAAGTGGCCACCCACAGCATGTTCCCCGTTTTGGGTGGCTTTAAACACTCTGTTTGGCCCATTTGAGGTCACTTTCTTGTTCTCGGTGATGTTTCACGTGGAAATAGCGGACACATTGGGGTCGTGGTGCCTTGTTCTTCTTCATTTTTTGTGGGGGGGGGGTGGCGGAAACCAAAAAAAAAGACGACCTTTTGTGTTTGGTGCGCAATTCCCATGTCAGTCATCCCCTGCCACAAGGGATCCCAATTGTGCCATCCACTTTCGCCCTGTACCCTTCCACTTGCGCACCTCAGGGAATGTGACTGAAGCAGATTCCTCTGAAATGGACCTGTTTTGTGGTTGTTTAGATGTTCAAATGGTGCACCAACGGAAAGCTGACCAATTCCAGTGTTGTTGTTTGTGTTTGCTAAATCATTTTGAGACAAACCCATGTGTTTGTTCTTCTTCCAACAGCTAGACGCCGATGGTCCTCCATGGGGGAGTGGATTTTGGGCGTGCGGTGTTTCTTGGATGCCTCAAAAGAGGATCCTTGTTTGGGGGCTTAAAGAATCCTGCACTTCGGAAGGTCCCTTCTCCCTCACTCGGCACATAGCTATTCATGGCTCCCTCACCCTTTGAAGTACTTCCCAAGCTGGTCCACTCTCCGCAAGGTGAAGGGTTGGCCAGTGGTCAAGTGAGACGCAATCGTCACACGCGGGAAGTGAAGGTTGCGGGACAGTCCCAATCGTCAGTGCAAGCTATTTACCCCTCGGGGTTTGGGGGGTAGAAGGACTCAATTCTGACTGAAGATGCGGCAAAAGGCCATGTGCATTCTTTCTCATGGGTGAGTAGAGTTAGTACCATGTCTTGATTTGGTCGTGGCTCACAAATCGGAAACTAAAACCCCCCCCCCCCCAAAAAAAAATGTCAAAAAAAAAACACAAAATGGTTGCACCTGGGAAAGTCAAGACAAACCGCAAGCTGAAGGGAGTAACTCCTCGAACGGTGGCAGCCCAGCTCAGCGCGGTCCAGGCTAACACCTGAGGGCTGTGGTTGAAATGGAATCCACGAATCTGTGATACAAAAAGGGCCTAACCCCAAAGACTAATCCACCCTTTTGAAAAGGGAAGATTCCCGAAGATATCACAGTGGTTGGATAAACCCCTTGAGTGATCCCACAACCCTGCTGAGTAGCTGTAACTCTAGCTCTTTCCTTGTGACCCATCCCCATTTCTGCCGGGGTTCCGGCCTGGACAGTCAGGTGGCTACGCTCTTCATGTTCGGCCAGACAGGCAGTGGCAAGGTGCGGGTCAAGCTCACGGGTTGTGATAGGGTTGGCGGTTTTAAGCACCACAGGACATCACCTTGGCCCATTTGAGGTGAGTCAATTAAAGTTTCATGAACATTCCATTTGGTAGATATGGCTGCGAGTCAATTTATAAGGTCCGGAACAGGGTCCGGAACCCACATGCGATCCAGACCTCCGTTCCAGACCTCCGTTCCAGACCTTGTTCCGTTCCAGACCTTGTTTATATATATTATTTATGTCTAGTTTAGAGTATTGATTCAGACGGTCAGGTGATTTGGTAGGTTATTGACTCCCCCCTTGTTTTGCCAAATGCTACGCGTTTTTCGCAACCCCGCCGCAATCTGTTCGATATGATACGGTAACGGTTCGATACCGCTCTCGGTGGTCACATTGTTGAAACGACCATGTTTACATGCTGCTTGCTAGCATTCCCAAGTGCAACACTCGCGTAACCGTTCCAGACCCCGTTCCAGACCCGTTCCAGACGTGTTCCAGACGCAGCGGGGCAATTTGCCACCAAGTCCACATGCACGCGCACACACACACACATGCCCCATGTAAGTAGCTGCGCTTCTTATGCGGCCCGCCGCGCCGCCCAAGAAGCCTTCAAGGAGGTGCCGTATCGTAAGGCCGCGCGCCGCTGGTCGCTTCATCCATCCACCTACCCATCCATTCAGCCATCCATCTATCCACCTTACACTAAATGAACGTGTGCGTGAGGACTCCACACATGTCTTCCCAGAGGTCCGGAACAACCAACCTTACGTATCTGACTCGTTCCAGACGTCCGCGTCACCGCGGAACGTTCCACGCCAGAATATTGACCCACACCCATATATTGAGAATATGGTTGGATTCATTGAAGTGATTAACCTGAGTTTTCCTCAGGTGTGATGTTTTAAATATAGGCAGCCCTGCGTGGAGCCCTTGTTGCAAGTTGCTGGCGGTTATTGAAAGCTTTGCAGCCCCTAGCCCTAGCAAGGCGCAAGGGGGGTCGACTCGCTCATGAGTTCAGCCAAAGGGGTTTCTGTACTAGGTTTATGAACGCCTTCATTAAAAACAAAGGCTGCCAGGGCAAGCCGGTGTATGGAAGGCGGCCGGACGACGCCAGGGTACAAAAGTAATGTCAGCTCGTGAAGGGGGTAAACGACATGCGGGGATGTATCTATCATCTTGGTTTCCAATCCATGGTTTCTGCTTTGGAGCTTCCTCCCCTGTACTTGTTTGTCAAGTCGCTTCTTTTTTGGCGTTTTCCCCGCGTTTTTCACCAGCCCCTCACCAATTTGCGCCTTCACGACCCTGGCAGACCCACACCATGGGGGGCCTAGTGCAGCGAGCCGCGCAGCACATCTTCCAGCAGGAGATCACCCGGGGGTGGGGGGACGGTTCCTTATCTTCCCTGTTTGCATGATCTAAGGTGTTTGTCCCTGGGTTCAGCGGTTTCCGGTCGATTGTTTTCCCTTTTGGGGCAAATGATTCAGCGGTTTTCCAGTCGACTTTTTTCCCTTTTGGGGTAAATGATTCAGCGGTTTTCCGGTCGATGTTTCCTTTTCGGGTAAATGACCGTGGTTTTCTGTCTTGGTGGCTCCAAAGGTCCCACGTAGCGGGCATAGGAGCCCACCGTGACGCTCACGGCCTTCGAGATCGCTGGCAAGGCGCTGGGGTGAAGCGGGGGTCCAGGGAATGAGAACTTGGCGAGGCCAGCCATCCGGTTCCCTTTTAGTGTTTAGTGGTAGTTTCCATTTTTAACCCACTAAAGGTGCTGGTCTAGGTTTTCCAGTGCCCTTCTCCCCCCTTTTTGGGGGGGAGATTCGGTTCCCCTACTACAATGGACTACTGAAAAAGAGGTACCCTTGTTCTAGCCTCTCTACTGGAGGACGTGGCGGCAATCCAGGGAATGATAATTGGAATGACCCCGACAAAAACGATCCCCTATGGTTTCCTTTGAGGGAATCCCTTATTCCCTACTGAACATCTACCAAGAAGAGCGATCCTTGTTATGCAAAAAAACAAAAGACACGCACACACACACACAAAGGTCTTACTAAGGAACTTTTCTCCCTCTGAAGTTCGACTCTGTGAATCAAACACCCTTGGTTGAACCTCATGCCGGATGGCAGCGGTTTCGCTTTTTTTCTCTTTTTTATATTTTTTCCGTGGTGTGCCAAGTGGGCATTTGGTTGGCATGTGTGGCTGTCTGGAGCTTCTGTTTGCATGTTGTGGCTACACCACATGATATAAAAAATGTGTGTGGCGACTCCATGCGCAAAAGTGTCGCTTCCAGATGACAACCCCCCCTGTTCAAGTTGGAGTGTGAGCATTGATGGATTCTGACAGGTTTGGGGTCCGGTGACCCACGAAGGCGGCTGTGGGGTTTGAACGAGCCCAGTGAGAACTGAGCCCCGGCGTTGAACGTGGCTGTGGTGGTTCCTATCCACCCCATCAGTTTCGGTGACAGAAGTGAAACTCAGGAGGTTGGCGTGAACAGGTGGGTTCAAACAAACAGCCGTGTGGAAGATGGGCTTGCGCAGCATCACAATGCTTTTCCTCCAGCACAGTCCCCCAAAAGGCCAAATCACGCAGGTGATGAGAGACCTCCTGGATCACACTCACAAGGCGCGGAGAGTGACTCCTCGCTGGCGGTGTCTGCAAAATAGTTGAAGTCTTAACCCCCACGTTTTGTGACACGTGCATGCACTCACGCTTTGATATGGCGGATATGGGCAAGCGGGGGAAGCAATGTGGTATGTGTGCAATGCCCCGCAATACACTGTCAGGCATACATGCAGAAACTTTGAGCCTGTATCAGAAGATTGCAAAAAGCTGAAGCATAGAAACTCACACAAGGCAGGTTGAAGTAAAGGGAACGACGCATTGAACGAAGCCCATGTTGAAGTGATCTGAGGTGACGGCCCAATTTGAATGGCATCATTCGGTACTATGGGGCATTGTTTTTGTGGTACGGCAGTCAAACTACCTGCTTGTTGAAAAGGTTGATTTCTGACTGTTTGCCCTTTGGTCACCGCCTGTTTGTCCAACATGTCCGCTTTGACCCAGTAGATGTGACAAGGCCGGATGGTAACCGGGATCCAGTCAGGTTCCAGGATGGTCCTGTCAGGAGAAGGAGCTGAAGATCCGCGAGGACAAGGGCGGCACCTGGGATGCCATTGGAACCTCGAGCGTTGTTTGTTTTCTTGTTCTTTTTTTTCTCGGAGTGCTGATGCGTGCTGATGTACTAGAAAGGTCTTTTGGCCTGGTGTTCTTTGCTTTTTTGGGCTTCTTCCAACCACGAGGTTGGGACTCTACGTTGTGTATCGTCGACTCGTTTGCTTTGTTTGATATGGGGAACGAAGCGGCTCGCAAGGCATGGGTTTGTTCAGAAAAGTGCATGGGCCATAGGCCCCGGATCTAGTCTAGGGAAGAGATCCTTCAAGGAGGTTCAAGCCCCTGGTTTAAGCTCAAACATAGACCAGGGGCCACCGACTCAAACGCACTTGGCTTTTGGCGTTCAGGTGAAAACAGACCACCACACCTTTTGCCAGAAACCGGAAAAACTTCAGAAGTATCCTGGGGACAGGTGCTATTTGCTCCCATATCTGCGAAAAAGCGGGGCTAAGCATCATTCCCTTCCTCTTGGCTTCGGCCCTTGGCAGGCGACCTTGGAGCCACATCTTGGATACAGTTGTTTCCCCCCAGCCCTCTTTTTGTTTTTCCCCAGGTCCCGTTTGGGTGGTTCCAATCGCTGAGGCAACACCCAGGTCTTGGGCCTCCACTCCTTGGAGGCCTCCAGCCCCGAGCAGCTCCAGCGCTTCATGACGGAGGCGAGTGCCTTTGGGGATGGCGGGAGAGACCTCTGGTGAAACGTCGGCTGATTTTTCCGGCGGAGGTTGGCGGGTCCCCAAATGGGTGTATCATAGGAGCCCTGTCATTCCTGTCACGACTTGTTTTGGTGAGCATGGTGGCGCATTGCGCTTGCGGAGGTTTTTTTTGCTTTTCTCTTTTTCGCCCCTCCTTTCGTCAGCCCGAGTTTCGGAGGCGCAGAATGGCCGTGCAACCCGCGCCACCCAGGCGGGCAAAAGGAGGGCCAGTGTGTTGCTCAGTTCGGGAACTGCAGCCTGGACTCTTCCATTGGCTTAAGATTGTTTTCGATTTTCCTCTGTTGGTTCTAAAAGGAGCTTGTCACTGGACATGTTTGCTTAAGATGGTTTTTGTTTTTTGTTCCCCCTGTTGGTTCTAAAAGGAAATATCACTGGACGTTGCTTGTTATATTTCCCCAAGGGGCGGAAAAGCAAGTGTTAGGGTTTGAAGGCGAGGGACAGTTGAAGCGACTGGGTGAGTTGACCAAGCCTGCCGTGAGTTGACTGCGAAGCATTTACATTGTTGGGATCTAACAACTCTCGACTCATATGGCCATGGGTCAAAAGCCCGTACCCCCAGTGAACATCCCAATCCCCACCAAAATAGAAACGGGTGGTGCACCTACCCCAAAATGGGGTCCCATTGGTTTTGACCCACAGCCATATGTGGTGGCTTCAAGGTGAGACCCTCTTCTCGTCCAATGTGACAAATGGGATCCGCAAACGAGAGCCGGGCATCCCTCGGACGCTGTGTTTTCTTTGGATCCAGTCTTCAGATGTTGAGGCCGACCAGAAATCGCTGAAGTCCATGAAGAAATCGCTGAAGTCCACTTGGGGGATATTGCAACTTGCCCTCTTTACAACAATTCAAGCGGACAGAATGGTTTTAGAAGACCCATGTTGAAAGGCCCCCCTTGGTCTCCACGATTTTTAAGCAAATCCAAGTTGGTTTCAACTACTACCACGTTAAATGGCAAATTACTCCCATGTTGGGAAGTGCTCCCTTGAAGATCAACAGGAGAGCTGACCTTGAGCCCTAATTAGACGTTTCAACCGGGGTAGAGAACTCGTCGAGGTCAACGAGACCTCGTCCCGGTCCCACGCCGTGTTCCAGATCCGAAAGGCGGACAGCACTGCGACCCTCACGCCGCTCAGAAGAAACTCGCTGGGCCGTGCGCCTGAGCTCCGAAAGACTTGTGCGGACAATCCCAAAGTTCCAGTTTCCGAGTCTAGGTCACCCAGTAGTGCCCTTTGACCGTTCCTTTTTTGGGGGGAGATTCGGTTCCCCTACTAAAATAGACTACAGAAAAAAAAGGGTAACCTCTCTACTGAAGGACTTAGGAGCGTTTTAGGGGATGACCCATTCTTGCTTCCTCATGTCCGCTGCACGCTAATCCGCGAAGCTTAGCAGACCTTCCAAGCTCTCCGGCTTGCCATTGGCAGATTAATCCATTGCAAGTAGCTTCATTTGAATAGCACAGGCCCCTGAAATCTAGCACAACTGGCCAATTCAGGGCAGGCTTTATGGTGTCGTACTCAAAACTATCTTCAAGCAGAACTGGCTATGGCAAGACACTCAAACATATGGGTGTGTCTTTTTTGGCGCGCCCCAAAATGGTGGTGGTCCTTTTGGTTTCCCTTTTACACCATCCTTTTTGATGGCTGACTGCCATCAGGGCAACTAGGTGCCCCAGTAGTGCCCTCTCTCACCCTGTTTTGGGGGAGGGCCCCCCTACTAAAATAGACTACAGAAACAAGTTGGTACCCTTGTTCTAACCTCTCTACTGGAGAACCTGGTCAAGCCATGGCCTTATGCAGCCCTTGATCTTGTGGCCCTCGGTCAAAGCATTTTGCATTTTGCACCAGTCCCTCATGCGAATTGAGGCTGGAGTCAACTCGATTTACAAGGCCTTGTCAGCAACAAAAAAGCCAAATGTTGGAAAACACACGCACATGCACGCTTTATGGCGGATACTGCCGCTTTAGTGCAGAACATCCAAAGAAATCTTCGGCGCGCCACTTAACTTTGGTGCATCTTGCTTGGATGTTAGGACTTTCTCTTTTTGCCAATGGGTTTTCAACATTAAACCAAGGTCAAGCTTTTAGCAGGGCTTAGCAGCAAGCAACCGAGTTGAGTCACCTGATATCTTTGCGGGCGGTCTGCTTGGCACTGAACCCATGGACTCGAGGCTGGTGGACTGCGCGGGCAGCGAGCGGCGGGAGGACACCACCAACCACGACGCCCGGAGTCGCAAGGACGCGGCGGAGATCAACTCCTCCATCCACGCCCTCAAGGCGCGGGTTTCCGCGGGTTTCTCGGGCGCGATCGTGGGGCGGTTTTCTCGGGTGGGGGATTTCAAGGAGAGGGTTTTGTTCGGGGTGGGGTCCAGGACAGGAGAGAAGTGCGAATGGCTAAAAAAAAAGATGCCGAGCGGCTCAGCGGCTCAGCGACTCACAAAATCATAGCTTGTTGGATGGGATTCTCTGGCACTTCAATATATTGACAGGACCTGGATGGGAAGCCGCTTAGAAGCGGCCGGGTGCGCGGGCCTTCAGCGATTCCGCACTTATCAGAGCCATGCCCAGTCGTTCCTTGGTAGATAGACCGAGCGGTTTTTTGGGAATCAAGCATCAGGAAGGCTGGAAGAGATCTATGGAGAAATCTTAGCACCGGGTGGCCTACAGGGCGCACCGTTCGGCCTTTCGTGGTGGTTCCAACATAGGCCCCGCTAGAGTCTCTCCTGGGCCCATTGTGAGTGCCAGCCAAGAAGTCACAGTTAGAGTATTCTTGACATGCATTGGAGAGTTACCTCCAATATATATATATACATATTATATATATATCATCCCATGGATGATGTAGACATATGTTCTCCAGATTTGAGGTGGGCTGCTGCGGTTTTCGGAGTGGAACTTAGTGGGTTCGAACAGCACAGAAGGGATGGACCAGGTGATCCTTCTGGCCCCGCTTGTCGGAAGGCTTCTGGACTGGGTCTGGTCCAGTTTCTCATTTCTCGAAACATGTCAGTCAATGCCCAGAGAGGACACCTGCGGTATGGATCGATGGCAAGCCATCATGAGAACTTGTATGATCTCCTGCTGACTAAACAAGAAAGACAACGCATGAAACCGGTCATTCCCACCATGTGATCAACCATATGCTATTGAGTGGGTCATCGTTTCATGCTGTATAGCAAGGTTCAGAGGGCTATGGAACATATTTGGGCCCTTTCTGCTGCTTGGTTTCTTGCCCAAGGCTTCGAAGTGAGACATGGAGGCTTCGAAGTCGAGCCTGTCAGGAATGCTTCAGAGCCATGCGCTCTGCGAAAGGCAGGGACCGTTCGTTGCAATGCGTGTCATGGAGTCACATTTTTTTTGTTTCAGCATAGTCTTCCTGGCATGCTAGACAGTCAGAGTTGCAACATGAAACATCCACAAGCATCATGCAGGCCTGCTTCTTGAGCATCCCTCAAATACATTCAAATACAAGCAAATCCCCACTCATCATGTATGATGGTCCCCGTTGTGGATTCCACTCTTTTAGGACGATGAATGACTTCCGATGGTGCATTTCCTACGTGCGCCCCAACTAAGGGGTGGTGTGTTTAAGGCTTGCAATTCGCTTCCTTGCCCTATGCATACAACCGGGACTATGGGGAAGTAGCCTATTCAGGTTTGCTTCTCGCACTGCTTCTCGCGCAGACTCAGGCCTTTGTGTCTATGGCTGTGCCTGCAAACAGGGGTCCCAAAAAATGATGGGTTTCCCTTTGGTTTCCCTTTCAATAACCCAAAACGGGTACCCACCAAAAACGACAGGCTCATATATTATGACTAGCCAGACCAATCGAAGACAACCCAGGTCCCTGGTGCCCTTTTACCGTTTCTTTTTTTGGGGGAGATTCGGTTCCCCTACTAAAATAGACAGCAAAAAGTTGGCACCAATTTATTCTAACCTCTCAAATCTGGAGGACCATATGAGCCACAAGCAGTCCCAGCCAGAAATAGTTGCGGCCGCCTGCTGAATTCTTTGCATGGTTCTGGGTAGACCATTTTAATACCGGGTTTTGAGCAAGTGACTCATATGACAACGCTTGAGGGCGCAGAAGGGGGCGCAGGTCAGCCTCCGTACCGGGAGAGCCTCCTCACGCGCGTCCTCTCCGATAGCTTCTCCAGTGATGAGGCCATGATCGTGGCCATCGGCACCGTGAGCCACCTGGAAGCATTTGGGGGTGTGTTGACTTCGATTTGCTTAAGAGTATATTTTGTCTTCCCTTGTTGGCTTTAAAAGGAATTTATCACTACTGGATTTTTTTTTCGGGGTCTTACTGTAACCAAATGGAAGTTGGGAGTCTCTGTTGCCCAGTGGTGCCCTTTTTCCTTTTTTGTTGGGAAGGGTTCCCCAATAAAAACTAAACCAACCAAAGAAAGGTGCCCTTGTTTCCCATGAAATCCACTGGGCATCTGAGGGGTGTGTGTTGACGATACCCAAATTTTGCCTTGGCTGAAAAGGAACCCACAAGGAAAACCACCAGTTTGGAGCCACCAGTTTGGAGGTTCCCGCATTTTGACACACCCGCCTGGCGCGCGGAAGCGACTGGAGTGGGACTGGTACCCGCCAACCAGCGGTTGAGTCCCAAACTGGGCTGATCAAAGTCAATCCTTTATCCTGCCAGATGGCAAGGCGTGGTATCGCACTTTGGATCATGTCCCCCCAACAAAAAAACAACCCATTTGTGCCTTCGGTTGGTGAGTGCTCGGGGGAAGACAGCTGTTACCGAGCATCCGACATGTCAGTTGTACGCGTCGCCTAATTAGGTGCAGGGTTTGCCGAAACCCTTGTTTTTGTCGGTGTACTGTGTAATTGTTATTCTAGAATATCCTGCAGCTGGTGTCTTTTGGTTCAGATGTCAACAGACCTCTTGGCATTCTCGCGTCCGCCACAATTTCAATGCCTCGCCGCCTTGGTTTGCAACGACGTGCTCAGCACCACTTGCCCTTTTGTTGCCCATCAAGACGTGACCCGGCATGTGTCATGTCGTCATGATGTTCCCGATGTGTCGTGTTGGACACTTGTTTGTGGCAAACCGCCCAACCTAATGGTTTTTGGCTTGTCAATCCATATGTGCCTAGCAACTTAGTTACTTAGTTGCTTCGCGATCAGTTCCATTTGGAGAAGCCGCAAGCAACCCTCCGCTTCAAAGAATCTGGGTGCTGGACATTCAACATGTTTCTTATTCGGGGATCTCAACGGGCCCGTTTTGTACTACTCAGGAACTTTGCCAGCAAGCCTTTGTAAGAGCCTTTGTCGGGTACACAAGCTAGGTCCCCCAGTAGTGCCCTTCTACCGTTCCTTTTTTGGGGGAGGGGTCCCCTACTAACATAGACTACAGCAAAAAGTTGGTACCCTTATTCTAACCTCTCAAATCTAGAGGACCTAGGCCCAGGTTCTTCCTTTGGCAGGGCTCCATCTGAGGTTTAAGGATTGGGTTTGGGGTTTCCACTGTCTGCCTGCAACAAGGCGATGGGTCAAAGCCCCGGTCCGGTGAACCACTCGACAAGTCAACAACCATTTTGCTGCGTTCGCCTTCCCGAACTTGATCTCCAGACCCGAGGCCCTGCTGCCAAGGACGGGAGAGATGCGCAGCGGGAAAGCCAAGGGAATTGTTGTTGTTTGCCGGGAATCTAAGTGGCGTTTCGTTGGCTTCCCTTTGGTTTTCCCTTGAAATTGAGGAGCATCAGATTGAGTAAGATTGAAATTGAGTGGTTTTCAGAACGTTGGGTGCAAGTTAGCGAGACTTGTTGCCCTGGATCGAAGATCGAATATACAAGATTCCACAACCATATGTTTAGAACATCCTCAACCTGGTCCCCCCAAAACTTGACAGTTTGTTCTAGACTCATTAAGGTTTTGCCCCGAAGATTGGAGATCTACCATATTTTCCATTTGAGAGTCTTCCATCCTGGCCAGCCCTCAATCAAGCCCACAAAAAGCCTGTAGAGGCGTCAACAACATTTGCCCCCCTGGCCAAATAGAGGCAGTGCAAGTCCACAATTTCATTCTGACAACGTGCACTCCCGGTCTGCCTTTTGGATTCTTCAAATCCGCACTTAGGGCAATCCAGGATCTGGATTGAGGATTGAAGATTATCTGACAACTCTTTCTGAAATTCTCCATATATATGTTCTTAGGGCAATCGAGGATGTGCTAGCACGTGCTAGCACATATCAGTTTGTCCTAAGGATGGATTCAAGATTTCCAGAACAAGTGGTCTGAGAATCTTCAATCTTCAATCTTCAATCCAGGATGTGCAAGCATGCTAGCACATCCTGGATTGCACTAAGTACCGATGCTTGAATTCAACTCTAAAAAGGAGTGCATTTTTAGAGCCTCATTTTAGAAGCTGGAACGTGTGTGTTGCACGCAAATGTTCATCCAAAATGTCAATCTCTGGCAAAAAACCTGAGTATTCCAGGGGGGAGGGTGCCATATATATATTTATACATACACATGTAAGGAGCACCGCAATTTCCGCCTCTGAGGACACAGAGCATTCCATCGGCACCCTGCGGGCACTACAGCAGCTGCAAGGAACGCAGATGCCTCTTGGCTGGAACAAACCCGGGGTTGCGTGTCTGACTTCCTGTGTTCATGGACTTTATACTTTGTTGGGAAAGCCATTGCAGTGGTAAACAACAGTTCGGACTTTTTGTTGGGGCCATCCACTCAGCAAGTGAGATTTTGCAAACAGGTCAGGATGTTGCAGCCAGAAAGAATCTAAGGGCACTGACAAGGACGGGAACTAGCCTTAGTCGAGTTAGAACTCCTTTTTGGAATGCAATCCTAACCCAGCAAATGACAGCTTCACACCCCGCCAAAGGTTGATGTTGCATTAGAAACGTTGAGTCTCCTTGATCATCAACTTCCACATGAGACTGCCTTTGCATTGCTGTATCATATGTTTCGCTAGTTGTCATGGTCTATTTGGCTGTATGAGTGTGTATATGGCGCTGCCAATGTGTGTGCTGATACGGTGTTCTTCTGCAAGTTTGAGCTTTGACCGGCTGGATCTCGACATGTTGTTTTTTTGGTTAAATTTGCCGTGTTTTGTTTGTCTGGCATGGATTCCCAGGCTGTATGACAGAAGCGTGCGGCTGACAGTATGCAAAGGCTCACGCGTGGGGTTAGAGAAGCAGTTTGCAGGTTCGCATTAATTCAGCACAACAAGGTCTCAGAAGGATCTAAATGCAAAGGTTCCCGGCAACCACTTAGGACACCTTGCAGCACGGACTTGAACAGGCGTGCTACAAACAATGGAGACATGTTCCCCTGCGAATCTTCAGGGAGAACCAAGGTGCCAACATCTTTAAACCGGCAGTTGGCATCCAGGGTGCAGGCACCGTTGTCTCAATAGCTGCCAATGTCCATTGGGCCGACTTCGACCCTTTGAACACAACCGGCATCCGCAGTAGGGGTTTCCGAAGCACGGTGAAGTCCAGGCAACCTACGGCTGAGAAGCAAAGGCCCCGCCCCAGCGGCTTGCAAAGGCGCTCCTAAACTTTCCCAAACCTAGAATGGGATGAAGCACCTACCGACAGGTGCGCAACGGATTTCTTCCATCCCCAGTATTTGGGTGTGTATGTCTTGAGGGTTCAAGCCAAGCCGACATGGAACCCATCCACGTTGAGGGTCCGAATTCCTTTGACACGTCCCAAGCACCTTCAGACTCTGCGTGTTTTTAGACGCAGGACGCTGGAGGAGCGCGAAGACGTGCTGAAGCCCAAGGTAGAGGTGGAGACTTGGACTAAAATTGGAAGCTCACTTCCTGAGTTCATGAACTTTAAACTTTTTGGGAAGACCATTTTAGTGGTAAATATAAAGTTCTGACATTTTTGGGGCCATCCACTCAGCAAGTGAGGAAGAGCAGCGGGTTGCCGGGCTGGGGGCTGTTGGGAGGGAAAAGTCGGGTGCTCCAAGAAGCGCGGATTCTGTTCCTTCATGGGCTTCTCGATGGGTTTAGAGGGAAAGGGGGGGCTCTCTCCCTCTCTGTCTCTCCAAGTGGCTGGCGCTTTTTGGAAGGAATGTCGGGCTTTGAGTGCGAGACATGCCCCATTGTGACATTGTGGGCTCTAAAGGTGGATCGTAACACAAATTCTCAGGGTATGCGTCATGGTATGGGACTGTTGCATTCAAGTGCCTGTTCAACTTGCGACTTGAGAGGCTACCCGGGTTAAGAGCATGAGGGATGCTCGGAATGCGTTGCTTGGGGTGGGAAGGAGGGCTGGTACTTCAGCTGAATTCAGCTGATCCGAGAACTGGAGCCTAATGGTTGCGCTGGGCGAAGTTTCGTCCAACTGATTTTGTCAACACGTCGTCAGACTCATGAAGGTTCGGATTGTTGGCTTGCACCTATGTATGGACTACAAAGCTTTGAAGCCAGTGTGATTCACGTGATCCTCGCCGCGCCCCTCTTGAGGACATCCTTTCAAACAGCAAGACTTTTGTTGGACACTGCGGCGCACTTGGAAACCAGCCAAAGGCTTGTTTCGCACCGTCCCCGAAGCCCCCATGAGCAAGCACTCCGTTGTGTGGTGGCTGGCGATGACATGTACGAGCACTTTGCACTAAGCCACGGGAATTCTCGCCCATAGACTTTTGGCTACTTTCAGTTCATATTGTTACGGACTCAGGGTGTGCCAAGAGACAAAAACTCAGAATCCAGTCATTATTATGAATATACAACGGTGTTGCTGAGATTGAATACTGTTATACAGTTATACACGTGTTTGAACATTGATGTGTTTCTGTGTGTAAGCGGTATTGTGTGTATGCATGCAAGTATACACGTATGCATACATCCATGTATGTATATATATATATACACTTCCTCCAAGACTCATAGAAGCTGACAATCGGAGGGTTTGGGAGTCTTGGCTTCCTTTGGGGAAGGCCCCCTGTTCACTGTCACGATTGTTGGAAAGACTGTACCAGCTGTCTTGTAAATGTGGAAAACAATAAGTTTGTGAAATGTCCCTTCAAATGATATTTGCCTGCATCGCTTGGGGTTGGAATGGGGGTATACTCCCTTGCAAGTTAACATGGAACCAACCACAGGGCCCTCCAAAAACAGTCGTGGCATTTGGGGGTCCTATGTGAATGTGCCGTGTTTGCTTCCATGAATTCCTCTTTTTCAGGAGGGGGGGCAATTTCATTTTAACACCTGGCCAACATCGGTGGGGCCCGTGTGTGTTTCCTTCCGTTTGCCGCCGCAGGAGAAGGAGAGCCATCCGAAGACCTGGTCGGAAGCGGAGGCTGGCTGGCCCGTGCTTTGTCCATGCGAAGGGGGGGGGTTCTTTTGTAGGAGACTTCCACCCCCAAAAATGGTGGTGTTCCTGCTGGTTTCCCTTTAAAACCAACCAAAAAGGGGCCCTTGGTAACTGTGTAAAACCAAGCGAAACGGGGTACCCTCAACAAAAAGACAGACACGTTTTTATCGTGCCTCAAAAGTAAGCCAACCGTGGGTATGACACGTGTTTTCTCCCGGGACCCCCGATTTGTCACACCCAGAGAGCGCTCCATTTGCCTGACTTGCTCAATCCTTGACAGCTATGCGAAGATGTGTCGCGATTGCAGTGGGAAGGCATTGCATTTTCGGGGGCGCCTTCAGATGTTTGGAATTGTCCCAATGAATGGGGTCTTCTCCAAAACAATTCTATATTCTAGGGTAGACTGACCGTGAAACCGAATCTGAAGAATATGTTTGCTGTAAACAAGATGCAGGTCAAGATCAGGAAGCTGCAAACGGGTTCCCCTACTAAAGTAGACAAACAAGAAGCAAGTTGGTACCCTCATGCTAGCCTCTCTACTGGAGGACCTACTGTGGATGAACGAAGTCCATTTCGCACCACCTCAGAAGCCCTGGAGTCTGATGATTCCCCAACGTAAATACCAACAAACGAAATGGTTTCAACCATGGTTTCCAAGAGGTGCGGTTTATGGATTTCGCAACCATCCACAGTAGGTGGTTTGAATCCTTCCAGAAAAAGCAAAGCAACTTTCTTCGAGGATGCAAGATGCCGCTGGAATAGATTTGCTCACTTGCCCAAAGCCGACCTTTTGACCTTTTGGTTTCCCATGTTTGGTCCATTTTTAGTAAAGGCCCCAAGAGGTTAACCTTTTCTTTTTGGGTCATTTGGGCAACTGAGTTTGGACCCGTGCTAGAATCGTCCGGACAAAAATGGAAGCCGATGTGTTGTTTAAGTGTGTTCACTTCATGTTGTTTGTTTTGGCCGGTGGAGGGGGAAGCAAGTGAGACAGTGAGGTATTTAATTTTGTTGTTGTTTTTTTGTTGGGGGGGGGGGCAAGTGAGACAGTGAGGTTGTTCCTGGAACAGCGGCAGATGAACGGCTGCTTGTCCTTGGGTTCCCTGTTCCACACGAGCAACTTGGGTGAGCCTTCGGCGAGGTGAGGCAGTGGGTGGAGGAAGCTGCCGGCGGCAGGGCGAAGCAGTTTGCTGCTTCTGTGTCCAAGGGCACCGATGGCAAGACGCGTGGATGCACGGGAGGCTATTCTCTCATTCCTAGACTTCCCCTTGGGCGGTCTTAAACATCACCGGGCCATGTCTATTTGACTAGGCCCCCCAGTAGTGATTATCTTTTTCTCTTGGTGGGTTGGGAGGGTTCCCCTACCAAAATAGACTACTGAAAAAAGGGTACCCTTATTCTAACCTCTCTGCTGGAGGACCTAGGTAGGGAATGAGTTGGAATGAACCCAGGGATCCCCTTAAAGGAAACCACAAGGATGGCTTACATGGGGTCCTTCCTTGATTTTGGCCGCCAATCGCACCAGCAAGCAGTACCCCAAAAATTATGTCTTAGCTTCTTTAAATGAGATCCTTCCCTCATTCGCCGCCAATCGCACCAGTAGTACCCCAACCTGTCTTTTCCTTCCTGGGCGTTCCGAGAAAACCCCAAAGAACCCTGCATTTTCTAAGAAAACCCCACCCCAAAACCCTGAGCACCAGCTGGGCCTTCCTCAGGAACCTGCTGCGGTGGCCGGCTCAGCGCTTCGTGCAGCTCTGCGAAGGGAACGAGGACCTGGGTAGCAAGCTCTACCAGGAGCGAAGCGCTCGCGCGAGAGACCTGGCGGGGGGTTGAGGTCAAAAATCGGGGGGTCACTTAGAGCCATCAAAATCCGGGAGAAAGGATAAGGGACAATCGCCTGGCCGTAAGTGGGTGCAGCCGCCTTTTTACCATCAACACTTGGCAGAAAGGGCAAGGGACAATCGCCTGGCCGTAAATGGGTGCAGCCGCCTTTTTACCATCAAAACCTGGCAGAAAGGGTAAGGGAAAATCCCCTTGCCATAAATGGTCGCAGCCGCCTTTTCACCATCAAAACCCCGCAGAAAGGGCAAGGGAAAATCCCCTTGCCATAAATGGTCGCAGCCGCCTTTTCGCCATCAAAACCCGGGATAAAGGATAAGGGATAATCGCCTGGCCGTAAATGGGTGCAGCCGCCTTTTTACCATCAAAACCCGGGAGAAAGGATAAGGGACAATCGCCTGGCCGTAAATGGGTGCAGGCAGCCGCCTTTTCACCATCAAAACTTGGCAGAAAGGGTAAGGGATAATCGCCTGCCCGTAAGTGGGTGTAGCCGCCTTTTCACCAGCAAAGCCCGGGATAAAGGGTAAGGGATAATCCCCTGGCCATAAATGGTCGCAGCCGCCTTTTTACCATCAAAACCCGGGATAAAGGATAAGGGATAATCGCCTGGCCGTAAGTGGGTGCAGCCGCCTTTTCACCATCAAAACCCGGGATAAAGGATAAGGGATAATGCTCTGGCCATAAATGGTCGCAGTCGCCTTTTTACCATCAAAGCCCGGGATAAAGGATAAGGGACAATCGCCTGGCCGTAAGTGGGTGCAGCCGCCTTTTTACCATCAAAACTTGGCAGAAAGGGTAAGGGAAACTCGCCTGGCCGTAAATGGGTGCAGCCGCCTTTTCACCATCAAAACTTGGCAGAAAGGGTAAGGGATAATCGCCTGGCCGTAAGTGGGTGCAGCCGCCTTTTCACCATCAAAACCCGGGATAAAGGGTAAGAGATAATCCCCTGGCCATAAATGGTCGCAGCCGCCTTTTTACCATCAAAACTTGGCAGAAAGGGTAAGGGACAATCGCCTGGCCGTAAATGGGCGCAGCCGCCTTTTCACCATCAAAACCCGGGATAAAGGATAAGGGATAATCCCCTGGCCATAAATGGCCGCAGCCGCCTTTTTACCATCAAAACCCGGGATAAAGGATAAGGGATAATCGCCTGGCCGTAAGTGGGTGCAGCCGCCTTTTCACCATCAAAACCCGGGAGAAAGGATAAGGAACAATCGCCTGGCCGTAAGTGGGTGCAGCCGCCTTTTTACCATCAAAACTTGGCAGAAAGGGTAAGGGACAATCGCCTGGCCGTAAATGGGTGCACCATCAAAACCTGGCAGAAAGGGTAAGGGAAAATCCCCTTGCCATAAATGGTCGCAGCCGCCTTTTACCATCAACACCCGGGAGAAAGGGCAAGGGAAAACCCCCTTGCCATAAATGGTCGCAGCCACCTTTTCACCATCAAAACCCGGGAGAAAGGATAAGGGAGAATCGCCTGGCCGTAAGTGGGTGCAGCCGCCCTTGTACCATCAAAACTGGGCAGAAAGGGTAAGGGACAATCGCCTGGCCGTAAATGGGTGCAGCCGCCTTTTTACCATCAAAACCTGGCAGAAAGGGTAAGGGAAAATCCCCTTGCCATAAATGGTCGCAGCCACCTTTTCACCATCAAAACCCGGGAGAAAGGATAAGGGAGAATCGCCTGGCCGTAAGTGGGTGCAGCCGCCCTTTTACCATCAAAACTGGGCAGCAAGGGTAAGGGACAATCGCCTGGCCGTAAATGGGTGCAGCCGCCTTTTTACCATCAAAACCTGGCAGAAAGGGTAAGGGAAAATCCCCTTGCCATAAATGGTCGCAGCCGCCTTTTCACCATCAAAACCCAGGATAAAGGGTAAGGGAAAATCGCCTGGCCATAAATGGTCGCAGCCGCCTTTTCACCATCAAAACCTGGCAGAAAGGGCAAGGGAAAATCCCCTTGCCATAAATGGTCGCAGCCGCCTTTTCACCATCAAAACCTGGCAGACAGGGTAAGGGACAATCGCCTCGCCGTAAATGGGTGCGGCCGCCTTTTTACCATCAAAACCTGGCAGAAAGGGTAAGGGAAAATCCCCTTGCCATAAATGGTCGCAGCCGCCTTTTCACCATTAAACCCAGGATAAAGGGCAAGGGAAAATCGCCTGGCCATAAATGGTCGCAGCCGCCTTTTCACCATCAACACCTGCCAGAAAGGGTAAGGGAAAATCCCCTTGCCATAAATGGTCGCAGCCGCCTTTTCACCATCAAAACCTGGCAGAAAGGGCAGGGGAAAATCCCCTTGCCATAAATGGTCGCAGCCGCCTTTTCACCATCAAAACCTGGCAGAAAGGGTAAGGGACAATCGCCTCGCCGTAAATGGGTGCGGCCGCCTTTTTACCATCAAAACCTGGCAGAAAGGGTAAGGGAAAATCCCCTTGCCATAAATGGTCGCAGCCGCCTTTTCACCATCAAAACCCGGGAGAAAGGGTTTGGGAAAATCCCCTTGCCATAAATGGTCGCAGCCGCCTTTTCACCATCAAAACCCGGGAGAAAGGATAAGGGAGAATCGCCTGGCCGTAAGTGGGTGCAGCCGCCTTTTTACCATCAAAACTTGGCAGAAAGGGTAAGGGACAATCGCCTGGCCGTAAATGGGTGCAGCCGCCTTTTTACCATCAAAACCTGGCAGAAAGGGTAAGGGAAAGTCCCCTTGCCATAAATGGTCGCAGCCGCCTTTTCACCATCAAAACCCGGGAGAAAGGATAAGGGAAAATCGCCTGGCCGTAAGTGGGTGCAACCGCCTTTTTACCATCAAAACTTGGCAGAAAGGGTAAGGGACAATCGCCTGGCCGTAAATGGGCGCAGCCGCCTTTTCACCATCAAAACCTGGCAGAAAGGGTAAGGGAAAATCCCCTTGCCATAAATGGTCGCAGCCGCCTTTTCACCATCAAAACCCGGGAGAAAGGATAAGGGATAATTACCTGGCCGTAAGTGGGTGCAGCCGCCTTTTTACCATCAAAACTTGGCAGAAAGGGTAAGGGACAATCGCCTGGCCGTAAATGGGTGCAGCCGCCTTTTTACCATCAAAACCTGGCAGAAAGGGTAAGGGAAAATCCCCTTGCCATAAATGGTCGCAGCCGCCTTTTCACCATCAAAACCCGGGAGAAAGGATAAGGGATAATCGCCTGGCCGTAAGTGGGTGCAGCCGCCTTTTTACCATCAAAACTTGGCAGAAAGGGTAAGGGACAATCGCCTGGCCGTAAATGGGTGCAGCCGCCTTTTTACCATCAAAACCTGGCAGAAAGGGTAAGGGAAAATCCCCTTGCCATAAATGGTCGCAGCCGCCTTTTCACCATCAAAACCCGGGGGAAAGGATAAGGGACACGCCTGGCCGTAAGTTGCCGCCTAAATGGTTTACCATTACTTGGCAGTTTTACCATCAAAACTTGGCAGAAAGGGTAAGGGACAATCGCCTGGCCGTAAATGGGTGCAGCCGCCTTTTTACCATCAAAACCTGGCAGAAAGGGTAAGGGAAAATCCACTTGCCATAAATGGTCGCAGCCGCCTTTTCACCATCAAAACCCGGGATAAAGGATAAGGGATAATCGCCTGGCCGTAAGTGGGTGCAGCCGCCTTTTTACCATCACAACTTGGCAGAAAGGGTAAGGGACAATCGCCTGGCCGTAAATGGGGGCAGCCGCCTTTTTACCATCAAAACTTGGCAGAAAGGGTAAGGGAAAATCCCCTTGCCATAAATGGTCGCAGCCGCCTTTTCACCATCAAAACCCGGGATAAAGGAGAAGGGATAATCGCCTGGCCGTAAGTGGGTGCAGCCGCCTTTTTACCATCAAAACTTGGCAGAAAGGGCAAGGGACAATCGCCTGGCCGTAAATGGGTGCAGCCGCCTTTTTACCATCAAAACCTGGCAGAAAGGGTAAGGGAAAATCCCCTTGCCATAAATGGTCGCAGCCGCCTTTTCACCATCAAAACCCAGGATAAAGGATAAGGGATAATCGCCTGGCCGTAAGTGGGTGCAGCCGCATTTTTACCATCAAAGCTTGGCAGAAAGGGTAAGGGACAATCGCCTGGCCGTAAATGGGTGCAGCCGCCTTTTTACCATCAAAACCTGGCAGAAAGGGTAAGGAAAATCCCCTTGCTATAAATGGTCGCAGCCGCCTTTTTACCATCAAAATGCGAGATAAAGGGTAAGGGATAATCGCCTGGCCGTAAGTGGGTGCAGCCGCCTTTTTACCATCAAAGCTTGGCAGAAAGGGTAAGGGACAATCGCTGGCCGTAAATGGGTGCAGCCGCCTTTTTACCATCAAAACCTGGCAGAAAGGGTAAGGGATAATCCCCTGGCCACAGCCCCCCTTTACCATCAAAACCTGGCAGAAAGGGTGAGGGAAATCGCCTGGCCGTAAATGGTCGCAGCCGCCTCTTTACCATCAACATCCGGGATAAAGGGTAAGGGACAATCGCATGGCCGTAAATGGGTGCAGCCGCCTTTTTACCATCAAAACCTGGCAGAAAGAGTAAGGGAAAATCCCCTTGCCATAAATGGTCGCAGCCGCCTTTTTACCATCCACACCCGGGATAAAGGGTAAGGGACAATCGCATGGCCGTAAATGGGTGCAGCCGCCTTTTTACCATCAAAACCTGGCAGAAAGAGTAAGGGAAAATCCCCTTGCCATAAATGGTCGCAGCCGCCTTTTTACCATCCACACCCGGGATAAAGGGTAAGGGACAATCGCATGGCCGTAAATGGGTGCAGCCGCCTTTTTACCATCAAAACCTGGCAGAAAGAGTAAGGGAAAATCCCCTTGCCATAAATGGTCGCAGCCGCCTTTTTACCATCCACACCCGGGATAAAGGGTAAGGGACAATCGCATGGCCGTAAATGGGTGCAGCCGCCTTTTTACCATCAAAACCTGGCAGAAAGAGTAAGGGAAAATCCCCTTGCCATAAATGGTCGCAGCCGCCTTTTTACCATCCACACCCGGGATAAAGGGTAAGGGACAATCGCATGGCCGTAAATGGGTGCAGCCGCCTTTTTACCATCAAAACCTGGCAGAAAGAGTAAGGGAAAATCCCCTTGCCATAAATGGTCGCAGCCGCCTTTTTACCATCCACACCCGGGATAAAGGGTAAGGGATAATCCCCTGGCCGTAAATGGGCGCAGCCACCTTTTTACCATCAAAACCTGGCAGAAAGGGTAAGGGAAAATCCCCTTGCCATAAATGGTCGCAGCCGCCTTTTTACCATCCACACCCGGGATAAAGGGTAAGGGATAATCCCCTGGCCGTAAATGGGCGCAGAAAGGGTAAGGGAAAATCCCCTTGCCATAAATGGTTTTTTACCATGGGATCAAATGCTTTTTACCATCAAAACCTGGCAGAAAGGGTAAGGGAAAATCCCCTTGCCATAAATGGTCGCAGCCGCCTTTTTACCATCCACACCCGGGATAAAGGGTAAGGGATAATCCCCTGGCCGTAAATGGGCGCAGCCACCTTTTTACCATCAAAACCTGGCAGAAAGGGTAAGGGAAAATCCCCTTGCCATAAATGGTCGCAGCCGCCTTTTTACCATCCACACCCGGGATAAAGGGTAAGGGATAATCCCCTGGCCGTAAATGGGCGCAGCCACCTTTTTACCATCAAAACCTGGCAGAAAGGGTAAGGGAAAATCCCCTTGCCATAAATGGTCGCAGCTCAGCTTGTTCGCGGAGGGTCAACCATTCCAATACTGATTGAGAGTCACACAAAATAGAGCCACGAGAAGGTGATGACCCTATGCTGATAGTTACTAGTCACTTACAGTCGCTGTTAGGCTGCAATGGCTCTCCCTGCTATGGCTCTGAATTAGTATTTTAGCTTCCGTAATCAATGAACATGCGCGAGCACACTTTCGGAGGTGTGGGGAGCTGATTTGTGGCGAGAGAGAGAGAGAGGGGATGTGTATCGGTAAAGGGTTGAAGAGGTGTCTATAGCTTTTTCACCAAGAGGAAGTGAGGAGGGTGTGCTGACCGACATGTTGAAGCGTGTTTTGAAAGGTCCTCAGGCTAAGCTGCCATTTGAGCAAGGCTTCCCCTTCCTGCGGCCGAGGACCAAACATTGCTGTGTCTGCAGTGTCGATGCCATGTCAATTTACTTCACCCTCCTCCCAACTAACATGGAAATGCACAAAGCCCCTTTCCAAGAGGAAAGTCGTCTTTCCACCGGGGTCTGTGCACAAACCCATGTCGGAAGGGTAAGCCTTGGATGGATGGATGAATGCGGGTTACTCAGCTTACAGCAGGAGGATCTCTGCGGATCGCATCCATACCCCGGGCCGGCCATCTCGGGTCAGGAGCTTCGGGTGAAGATGAGGTGATTTGCGGCAGCGCGGCCATAGCGCGATCGGCTGAGACAAATCCCAGAGGCTTGCGTGGGTTGCGTGTGCATTCGAAAATCATACCCGCTGTGTATACATACATATATATATATATATGTGCAGTATACATATATATATATATACATCCTTTGTATGCACATGTCCCATGTTTGTAGCCCTGCGGGGCATTTGTAGCCGTTCGGCGACCTCCATAGGCCACTGATCAAAGGCCTGATACCAAGGGTCTTAGGCTTGTAGTGCTTTTGGTCCATTTGGGCAGTTCGGTGCGCATATGGCACTGGTCTTCGGCATCATCATGCTGAGTAGCTGGACCCTCCGTATTCATCAAATAACAAGGCTCTAACGTCAGTGTATCCGCGCAGTTTGACATGGTTTACACTTGTTTACACCAGCGGCACAGAACCGGCCAGTTTGTCACATATTAGGCGATCTTGAGCGGCCAGTGGTAAATAATGGATGCCATGTAAAGAGAAGTGTATTTGTGTGTGTGTACGCGCGCATCTCTTGGATTCTGGCAAGCGTATCAAGCTGCAGCCGCCGTAGCCAGTTATTTCCAGTCTTCCCGGAAAGTCTTCCCGGAAGGCTGCGGAGAATTCACCCCGCGGCGTTCAATCGACGCCGGCATTGGCAGTGCAGCAAGCGTCTGCAAACCAGTGCCCCGCGAGGCGCATTTTGTTGCTGGGGCTCAAGCGAGGCATGGACAGAGCTGAAAAGATATAGTTTGGCCATCTAAAGCGTGCCGTTTTTTCTCTGGACCAAAGGGACGCTGCATGCTTTTGTTGGTAGTGTTCAAGTAGAACATAATACAAGCCCTGTTGGAGATGCTCACTACTTAGATGATGGAGAGGAACCAATCAGGGGAAGGCGGGGGTTAGCCGTGTTTTCAAATGCCAGGCTCGTGTTTGGTGTGATTTCGGGGTTCCAAAAAAAAGCAACTGGACAAACTCATTGGGTTCCTGTATTTTGAGAAGCATCCAGTTGGTTCTCCGTTCCTGACTGAGAACAACACAAACCGCTATGGGCAACTCTGGCGGAAATTTTCGCGACATCCGGCACAAGTTGACTGTTTGCTTTGTGGATCCAGTCCTCTGATGCTATGAATCTCTGGCAGCCTTGGACATTTAAGGGGGAGAAATTCACTAGGTCCCCCAGTAGTGCCCTGTTATCCTTTTTTGGGGGAGGGCTACTAAAATAGACTACAGAAACAAGTTGGTACCCTTATTCGAACCTCTCTACAGGAGGACCTAGTTCAAATAGAAGACTTGCCCCAAACATCCCGCAGAAGTGTTGGATCTAAATACCGTATTGAGGAGTTTAGATTCAGCAGTCATAGTTTCAGGGGGCAAGTTGACAACCATGTTTCACACCCATGTACATGGGCAAGCTTCACAAATACCTTGGCTTTTTGAATGACACACTGGAAGGATATAGGCCGCCTGTACATGTTTGTACGTTGCTGGTGAATATTTTGTTTGCATCGAATGAGGTACATTCGTTGTTTGCTTGCTGATGCTTTCAACACATACTGTGGATGGACAAACTCCACAAACCGCACCACTTGGAAAGCATGGTTGAAACCATTTCGTTTGTTGGTATTTACGTTGGGGAATCGGCTCCGAAACCAGGGTGTTTGAGGTGGTGCGAGACTCGCGGATGTCGCAACCATCAGTATCAAACTGCAGACCGTTGGGTTTCGGGAAGCCCAGCCGGGACTTGCTGTCTGAAAATGTGCGAGCACTGGACTTCCAGCATGATGCAACATATGTTACATGCAGGCAAAAGGTACCCTGCAACATGATGCAACAAACATGTATATATATATATAATTATATCATATATTGCATAACATATATGTATATATATATATATATTATATTACACATGATTTACAGTGCTTCGCTTGACGCCTCGGTCAAAAACCTGGCTCGGAGCAGCGTGCGCGTCGCGGCAACACCCGCAACCATGTGGGTGCGCTGCGAGCAATCGCTCTTCGGGCCGGACATGAGCTAGGGTGGGGGCACAACCGCACCGAATGTACGCATATTCTCACTTTTGTGTTTTTTGTCCACGTTGCTTTTTGCCTGACAGCTCATTGAGAAGTCGCCGTGCTAAGGGCTCAGGTTCAACGGCTGCCCCACCCTGAAATCGCACAACTTGAGGCCGGGACATTTAGTCCTGGCGGAATACCTAGCATCTTAGGCAGATGGCCTGGAACCTCGACCAGGCCAGCACAACGGGTTCTCACCTTGTGAAAACAAGCCGTGAGAAGTTAATGGCATGGGGGAGAAAAGTGTGCGAAGCGCTCGCGCGGAGACGAGACGCCAAGCCAAGCCTGGGACCGCGGTGGATACTCAATTTTGTTGCGGGGGCGTGGTACTTCATTTGGGTCAAACAAGGGGGCTTCCCTTTAAACCGGCCCAAAGCCTAACAATGGGTACTCTGAACACGCACATATGTAGCGAAAGAGAGAAGATGAAAGAGAGTGAGAGAGAGCAGCGAGAGCGAGGCTGCCGTAGCTCTTAGAATGCGACGTTTCTTTGCTATCAACAACCTCCGTACAGAGGTCACGAGGTCAGGAGAGGGTGAACCCACCTTCTCCAGTTGTTTCTTTTTACATGGTTTTCCTGCTGCTTATTCCCTAGGCTTGCTGGGCAGCTCAGCAATAAGATTGGCTTCCTAAGTATTTACAGGAAGGGAACTCTTCGCTCTGAGATTCATGCTATATAAAAAGTGGCAACTTGGAAGGACTCGCCATGGTTATTCGGGTACCTCAACTTCTTTGGTTTGTCTCCAACCCAAACCAAAAGCCACAGAACAAAAGAAAGGAGCAGTGAAGAATCTTCGGGAAGGACAGCAAATGTGAAAACAACTCGCTCTTAGAGCCCCCGATGCCGCAGCAAGTGCTGCTGAAAAAGGGGCCCTTCAGATGTTGGGTTTCACTCTTTCCCTTAGAACTCTCCCAAAAAAAGAACCAAGGAAATAAGGAAAGGAGCTTCAAGGGGAAATCCATCTATTTAAGGGCGCCGACCATCTGGAGTCCACCATTTGGGTGGACGAGCCCAATTCCACAGGGTAGGTTTTCCAACACTCGAGCCAGGCCCATTTAGAGGCAGATCCAATTGGCAAAGAGGATGGACAAAATCAAAGAACTACCATGGATGAACTTTTGCATATGCTGGGATAGACCATCTACTGGTGTGAAGTGGATTTTGTCAGTATAAAGTCCAAAGAGGGGACCCTTTCCACGTTGGTTTAGAGGGAAACCAACAGGCAACCACCCAGTTTAGGGGTTAATTTGCGGTATGTATGCTTCTTTTGAGGGTACCCATTGTGGGTATGGTTTAAAGGGAAGCCAAGGACCACCATCATTTGTGGGGTCCGCTGGTTTTGACACCCACAGAGTTTCCTTCTGGGAAAACCCGAACAATTTCAGATTGGATGATTGGTAGGGGGTTAAACGGCACAGTTGGGTGTGTGTTTCTTTGGTGAGGGTACCCTCTTTAGGCCTGCTCAAGGGACAAGCAGAGAGAGAGAGAGAGAGAAATAAAGAAAGAGAGAGAGAGAGAGAGCGAACGAGAGAGAGAAAGAAAGAAAGAAAGAAAGAAAGAAAGAAAGAAAGAAAGAAAGAGAGAAAGAGAGAAAGAGAGAAAGGACATAAAGAGCAGAAAATAAAGAAAGAAAGAAAGAAAATACAATAACAGAAAATAAAATCAAAGAAAATAACATAAAGAAAGAAATAAAGAAAGAGCACAAATACTGTGGCGGCCCATTTAGAGCCACAGACGCATACCATGTGCGGATTTCAGCGCAAACGAGGCCTTCAATCAGCTGGGCGTGGGGGAGCCGCCCAAGACAGCCACCTGCCCCAAAAACCGGCGACCTGGGGGCTGCTTCCCTTTTTTTGGTGGCTGGGTTTCCCCTTGGTTGGTTTCTCTTGCGTGTCGCTATTTTTACTTTTTTGGTGGGTGGCTGGGTTTTTCCCCAAGGTTTCCGCTTGGTTGCTTTCTCTTGCTTGTTGTGGCGATTTTTCCTTTTTGGTTGGTGGGTGACTTTCCCCTTGGTTGCTTTCTCTTGCTTTCTCCCCCTTTTTGGTGGGCGTCTTTTCACATGGCCTTTTTTTTCTCACTCACTGGTGGTCTAGGAGCGTGCTCATTCCTTTATGTTCCTTGCCATGAGACTGGTATCGCGAAAGGGAGAGGAATTGCCTAAAAGCTTTACCGAGTGCCTAAACCGCTTCAAGCGGCTCAAGTTACACGGCCCTAGTGAACTGGCGGCCGCAATGTGTATCATCTCACTTGCCCAAAGCGAATCAACCTTTTGACCTTTTGGTTTCCCATGTTTGGTTTCCAGTTTTAGTAAAGGTGCTCTTGAGCTTTGCCCGGTAAAGTTGAGGCCCTTTTTTTGTACTGGCCTTACCCTGGAATGGACTGGCCAGTTCGGTGGACGAAACAACAACTCCTCCTGCTTACTTTGCGAAGCCCAACACAAGGCTCGAGGAAAGTTCTGAGTTCGTTCTTCATTTGTTTCATTTCCATGGGTGCACGTTGGCATTGCCTGAATATTCATGACACTCTTGTTGAAGGCATCAGACTAGCATATGTTTTCTTCGGCCAGACAAAACACTACGGCAGGCAAGACACTGACGAGCCGTACTCATATAGATGGGCAAAATGCTGCACCACTTTGAATAGATGCTGGATGCCCAAGAAATAGTGGGATGAACCACCTGCAAACTGATTGAATCAGGGCCAATTTTTTGACCCCCACGATTGGGTATGTGTCAAAGCAGGGTGACCCCAAATTGATCGGTGCTTTGTCGATTTCGCCAACCAACCCCAAAATGCATACCCTTAAAAGAAACATACCTCAAAACAACCCTACATGTTTTTTGTTTTTCCCGTTGGTTTCCGACAAAAAGGTGAAAAGGGCACCCTCAAGAAACACAAACCCATTTGGGCTCTGGTTTGAACTGGTCACCATGGGTCTCCTTTTTAGGTGAGTTTGGTTCAACTAGTGTAGGTGGGTTTTATGCCATCCATTTTCCAGGGAAACCCATCTATTTCACCTAGCTGGTGCTGAAAGGGTACCCTCAAGAAACACAGATCCATTTGGCCAGAGAGGCCTCAAAACACACCCATGTTTTGCTTCAGGTGACCCTCAACTGGTGCCGGTTAAACATAGATGGGTTCTACTAGTTTAGGTTGGTTCTATGCCATCCATGTACCAGAGAACCCATCTACTTTCCCAAAAGGTCACCTATGGTAAAAGTGTTTATTTTATTTTATTTCTTTTAATTATTATGATTGTCTGCAGAGAGGCGCCTCAAAGCCAGACCCATTTTGCTTCTGGCGACCCCAGTAGTGGCCTTGTGCCAACTTTTTTGGGGATGGTTCCGAACCCTACTAAAATAGACTACAGCACAAAGTTGGTACCAACTTATTCTAACCTCTCCACTGGACCTAGTCAATCGACGTCAGAAACCATGAGACGTTCTGATGCCGAGGTGCCGCTGCTGCCGCGCTTGGCGCATCTGCAGTTGAACGACAACCCGGTGGCAGGGAGATCTGAGGGATCCAAGACTGTGTTGGTCGAACTGGCGGAGGGGGGGAGGTACCCTCCCTGGCACCTGTGGGAGGGTACCTGGAAGATCAAACTTCTTGGAGGGACCCCCTTTCAGGTGCCATGTCAGTGGGAGAGAGGGTATCCTGTTTAGTTTGAATGGTTTAGTTGGGTGGGTGTGATTGGTTTGGAAGCTTAAGTGTTGGAAGGTGCAAGGTCGCTGTGGTATCGTGCTGTCATAGGATTTCAGCCTGCTTTCAGCATCCAAAGATATCTGGAGAACAGGAGTTCACACCTTGAGTTCTCATGAGGATGAACCACTCCAGTAGCCCATGAAGTGTGAACCTGCTGGCTGGTGCATGAGGTCTTGTGTGCCAGAACAAAGTAAAGGAATGCGGTGTATCACCACAGTGTGCCCTTGACTCAAATGGCCTGAGCCATCAACTTAACAGGAGCATGATGTGCCAGAGGGAGTGTTATCTTGTCAAGATGGAGTGATGTGAGGCATCAGGTGAGGCTGTTTGAATTCAGTCGTCGCATTTGTTGGATGCTGTTTTGAGGGTATCCATGCTTGCGTTTCGCGCACGGAAGTGGAAGGACGCTTTCGACATGACTGGAAGTCGGGGGTAAACATGGGCTTGTCTGAAGATTGGGAACTGTTTGCGGATGGCGTGGGAAAGCAAGAAAACACGAACCGCCTGAGGTCCTTGATTTTAAGAGATCCACAATTGGCAGCAAACAGCCAGCGCCAGCTTTTGACATCTTAAACCACTCAGCAAGGCTGCCTGGTCAAATGACTGCTCAAGTCCAGTGACTTGCTAAGTATTGCGGGTTTGATTCCACATGAAATTTGGAACGCCTATGACGGGAAGGCACAACCCCCGCAAGAAAAAGGGTTCTCAAAATGACACCCAGAACCACCTACGTCATTTCTTTGGCTCAACCCGAGTGCTGGACTCTAAACTTTGTGCAAAGACAGTTTCAGTGGTAAACAACAAGTTTGGACTTGTTTTGGCCCATCCACTCAGGGAGTGAGTTGAGGACCCTCCAGAGATTTTCAAAGACATTCTAGCCGTTTGACCGTTTCGGTCTGCGATCAACATACTACCGGGTGCGTGCTGGCACCGTCTACGGGGGTTTTCCCCGTACCCTTTAGCACCATGGGGTCGCCCGAGATGGCAATTTGCCCGTCGATTTTCCAGGCTGCAGAGCTGATGGAGGAGTACCGGCAGACAGCTTAGCTTGGTACCAGTGTGTCTTATTTGCAAGGCAGCCCCTTTCAACGGGGGGTTGCTTTGAAGAACCGAAAAAGGAAATCAACTGGAGGGCTTCGCTTTTAAACAATAGGACGATAAGTGGGCGTCAATCATATTGAATAGCAACAGCCGTCCTGCCCTGTGAGGGCGGAACAGCAGGTTTGTGGAGCTCGTCGGGAACCCCTGACTTTGCCTGACGAACAAATCATCAGTTCTTTGAGGTGCTGGCCTAGCTTGCAACTCCTCGTGTCATCAAGTTTTGCCCAACCGCTGTGAGATTCGGGGGGTAGTGAAGCTTACTGTAGAGAAACCTTAAAGCCAATAGATTCTAGGTCCCCCAGTAGTGCCCTTTTACCCTTTTTTTGGGGAGGGTTCCGAACCCTACTAGAATAGACTACAGAAAAAGAAAAGGGTACCAACTTACTCTAACCTCTCCACTGGAGGACCTACTGTGGATGGACGAAATCCTGCACCACTTTGAAACCATGCTTGAAACCCTTGTTTGCTGGTATTTACAGACGAACCATCCGAAATTCCAGGGCGTCTTAGGTGCGGTTCGATGGATTTCGCCCATCCACGGTAGGATTCGAAGCTTTCTCCAAGTTGCCCAAAGGTCAGCTCGCCTTTTTGCGCCTCAATGGGCCCCAATCCGCTTCCTGAGGCCCTGGGTGCTTCGGATGTCTCCTCAGCTGGAGGCCCGTGCGTTCCAATCAGCGGTTGGCCTTCGGTCCGTTTGGCGGTGGTGGTCAAAACCGTTTTGGTAATTCCCGTCTTGGTTGGTAGCTGAATTCACCACCCATTCTGGAACCTATGTTGGTGGGGATTGGGAAGTTCACTGGGGGTACAGGAATTTGACTCATGGCCATTTGACCCAAAAGGTGACCAGGCTGTTGGATTGTGGTTTTTGGTCTGACCTACTGCTTCACCTTTTGGGATTGACACGTTCTAGAGCCATTCTTTTGGGGCAGAGACCTGTGTTCATGGACCAATGGACCTGCGTGCCGCAGGAGCTTGACAACGACACCGTCAGCGAGGAGGAGAGAAGGTGCCTGAGTTGCAAAGCTATGTCTGGAATGTATATATATATATATATATGGTCAGCCCCCCCCTTCGGGTAAGTAGAATTATTGACCTTGAGACATTGCAACAGCACCTAAAAGGTAGTTCGTTGGGGGGGGGGCTGAGCCTCTATATATATATATATATATTATACATAGAAGCTCAGAGTTGGACTACTCAGAATATGTGTTTTTCTTGGGTCGGCCTTTTGCCACCAACAATCGTTCCCTCTGACTTCAGACCATGAGCAAGTCAAACTTGCTGAGGTTGCGGCCTTGCTTTGAGGGGAGAATTCGACACTAAAAGCAATTGCATTACTTCCATTTGCTGAAATGAATATGTGTTATTTGTTGGTGTTAAAAGGAATTTATCACTACTGGAAGTATGTTTTTTTTTTTTTTAATGGTCTTAACCAAATAGAAGATTAGGCGTCAAAAAAAGACTCAATAACTATGAAACAAACAACCAAAAACAAGGTCACATGTGCATATTTGGCAAGTTTTAGTGGGGGAACCAACAACCAGTCTGCCCACGCGCTGCCTTTCTCACTGAACGAGGGCATTGGCCGTGGCGGCTATTTGGTACCCAAATGGGTAGGGCAGATGAGTTGGGGGAACGCGCTGTCCCTGCCCCAAACATGGGCTGGCATACCTTGGGAAGACATCCCCATGATCGCACATCAAAGGAGCGATGCCTGGCCGCCCAGAGAGCCTCCAGAGAGCGCAGCATGCATTCCCCCGTTTTTTTGTTTGTCAGGCGCGCGGTGGCGCCCAGCCGGCATTCTCAGAGGCAGGGGGGGTTGGGGAAAAAATGTAGAAAGGGCAGATCCTCGGGGGAAAATGACAAATGTTGAGGGATTTCTTTGAGTATTGTTTTTCAACAGTTTAACCATCTTATTCGTTTTCACTACCCATGTTTCATGCCATGTTTCATTTTGTTTTTCTCGGGGTGATGGTTTATTTCGTTTTGAAAGAGGTTAGTACTTTTAGTAGTTTCATCGATTGGGGTGTTGGCGGGTCTTCTGGTTTTCCTATTCTTTGTTCATGTCATATTCAAAATCTGATGAGGTTTCAATGTATTCTCTTATCTCTTCCTGTGTTGTTTGCTGTTTGTATTCTTTTGTCGTTTCTTCAGTCTTTGGTGGTTTTGGATTCTTAACATTGTTGATGTGTTTTTTGGTTCTTTCGTGTTTTGCTTTCTGACTAAGTGAGACCATACACCTACAATATTGACATTCAATTTTTCGTAGGTTGTATTCTTTACTGTGTTCTTTCTGGTATTGCTGTTTGTGTTCTTTATTATTTTCATAATATTCCTTCGCTTTTTGGCTAAGTGTTTCTTTATTTCTTTCTCTGTATCTCTGTTTGCTTTCGAGACATAAATTACATTGTTTCCTTTCTTCTTTGAACCTTTCTAGCGGTTGAAAGACTTTACATTTTGAACACTGCTTTTTGTCAGTCATATATCCTTAAATATTAAGGGGTCTAGTCTTTAAATTAATTCAGGGGTATTCATAGGTTAAAAGTTCACTATAATTATAACATATAAGAATATAAATGATATAATTATGGTTTAGTTGTAGATAATATGATTAAACCTGTTTTCAGTGTTTCCAGTCTCCTATATTGTTCCAAGAGCTGCTCAAGATGTTTCTGATATTATACCAGATTAAGTTAACGTCATAATATTTCATTGGTGCTCTTTGTTGTATTAAATAACGCAACACTGATATCAAAGTATAATAATTCAAATGCATTGTTGTCATTCCTCCTCTTTCGTTAATACTATTACCATTATGTTTAACGAGTTCTTCTTTCATTATGTTTTCGTAAATCTCTTTTATCCATTGATGATTTTGTTCTCCATACTCGGCGAACATATCTAGATATATATCTTCCATTGTTTTATCGTTTTTAATTATTTCAATGACTTGTTTATATGATGGATAGGGATTATCCTTAATGAATCTCAATATTATCTTTCTATCCTGTTCCAGCTCTTTTTCTGTCACTCCTATCATTGGCATTTTTCACGTAATATATTATGTTATTTTTTCTATAAGTAGTTTTTATTTTATGATATGGGGCTTGGGGATATGTTGATAAGTTACTTTCTAATAAATAATATAATGGCGAGATTAACGAAAGACCGATACGCTTGTATCAATTTCACATTGAAATGATACACATGTATCATGGAAACGATACACACGTATCATGGAAACGATACGTTTGTATCAATTTCACATTGAAATGATACACATGTATCATGGAAACGATACGCTTGTATCATGATTACGATACGGTCACGTTCCCCTTTTTGACTGCTTCGAGTGGTGTAAGTGTATCATAACTGATGTGACCAAAGACCTAGACAGCCTGAAGGTTAGATAAAAAATGCGTTCTCCGTTACTGTGAGTCTTTGAAGGGTCTTTGAAGGGAGCAATGTGTTTTTCCTGTTTTGGTCAGGGTTCAAACAAGACAAGGGGAGACTTCACCGAGCCACCTTGTATCCCAAATCACGAGCGACCAAACCAACACTGCCTGTACCACTAAATAATTCTAATAATTTCATTATAATATTAGAATTATTTAGATATTTACTTTACTTTATTGTGTAGTGTCGCGAAGCTCACTAGGCTATTGCTTCGCAATAGCGTAGTGTCCATATGGTAAAGAAGTAAAGGCATCTAAGTAATGTCTTTTATTTTCATAATTACTGAGTGATTGCTTGACTTGAGACATTGAATATATTTGATGTGTTTTGCTCCTGATGAAGTTGTAGGAGATTTCGTGCTTTTTGTTGTGATGCAGTGCTTCATGATAGTTCTGATATGTTAATTCCTTTTTAACCTTGTGCTTGACGACACCTTTGGATTTCTTGTGTTCCTCATCCTCGCCGTGGATTGTGAAAGCATAGGATTTAGGTTTCAACCCGATGAATCTAGTAATGATTTTTCCATTGACTTCATCTTTGTACATTCCTAAGACCTTCTTATTTGTTGTGTCATGGCATGGATGTTCAACAGGATAATCACTAAAATCCATATGTTGCTTGATACCTTGAAAATCCTTGTAGATATCATCCGTGAAGGTTTGAATTACATAACTGTCAGTATCTGTATATATCAATTTGATATTTTCGTTGTATTTCTTTTTCAACACACCATAGTAAAACTCATACATATGTAATTTACTCAAATCCAATATTGTCATTCCTAAGAATATGGGTTTATCCAATTTCAGTTTCGCTTTAGTTTTCTCCACTCCTACCAGATTTTCATTTATGATAAATCTATTTTTGAAAGTAGGATTATTCACGCACTTTTCATATCTAACATCATTATCTACCAGTTCAAAATCCATATGTTTTCTTTTGTCTTCCATAGTTTTTCCATACACCGCGTTATTCATTAATTTGAACAGGTCCTTCTCAAAGTCGCTCTTCGCTTCTTTCCTCTTACCAGTGTTGAAGTCAATCCATGGTTTCAACCAAGCCCTCTGTTGAAATTTTATTATCCTATGAACCTTGGTGAGTTTCATACCCATTTTTAGATAATACTGTAAAGTCTTGATATGAACAACATATTTTTCTTTATCTTTCAAATTTAATATTAACTTGCTGGTTTTCTCATCCTTCGGTTCTTTGTTTCCATAGTAGATTTTGAAGATTTCCTTTTGATAGTCTGACAACATATTAGCATTGACATTCATAATTTCCGGTGCTAGTGGATAGTCCGAATGGTAGTCATGTAGTGTTTCGGGATATTCCAAATCCACTTCAAGGATGAAACCATACTCATCTTTTTCATCCCACTTTTCAATGTTAGGTGTTTTCTTTGTCCATTTGATGTTCTTTAAAGGCAATTTTTGAGACATCGCCAGACCATACAGATTGTTAGCATCTAAGTAATTGATATAACTTGATGGCTTGTTTTCATCGAAGGCTTCATCCATATACTTATTGTTTGCCTCAGCCAGTTTATGACTGACCTGACACATGCCTCCTCTCATTCCCTGTTCAACCATCTCATACATTTCTTTATCGTGTAACTGTTCAATTTCAACACCAGTTTTCAACAACATAGCTTCCCAAGCAAAGTTAGGAAGGGTATAATAGTGTGCGGGGTCCAAACCGTAGTATTCCATACATAAGTCTCTAAAGTTTTCAAAAACATCAGTCAATAATAAAACATCGGTTCTCAAATACAAATCGTGATATTGTCCTAATGTTCTGATACCGAAGTGTTTCCAAACCTTTTGTGCCCTTTCATAATCTTTGTCGTTGACATGTTCCTCACTCAAATTACTGTAGAACGCTTCTTTTGGCGGTAAGTTTCTTTCAGTAAATCTGCCAAAACTATCAAAATAGTCATAAGGATAAATCCCCTTATCAGTCAACAAGTCCAAATCTTCATCGGTTTTAACATATGGATTTCTAACACTGTATCTAAAATTGTTCTTCCAGTTCTCTCGCCTTTTATCATCTTCATACTTACTCAACTTTACCAACTTATCCAACGAAGACGATAAGAAGCTAAAACTGTCCTTGAAACAAAGGTTTTTAAAACCAAAGGTTATGAACTTCTCGCTGTTCTGTGCGATGCAATCGATTTTAGCATTCTTGCTCAGTTCGTGTGCCTTGTTGATGATTAAGTGAGCGTCATAGTTTTTCAGGTTGTGAAGAAAGACTGGGATTTTGTAGTATCTCATACTAAATCGTAGATTGCATGCTTCGTGAGCACAACCTCTATATTTACCCGTAAAGTGGCAGTGGTCCCAACATTTCTTTTCGTCCTCTTGAAAAGCATTACCACAAATGAAGCACTTAGTAGCATTGTTGAAGTCCTCCCAGTCCTTCTCAGTTTCAATTCGGTCTTTGACTTCCTTCATTTTCTTTATTACATCATCTCTGACTTCATTCATTTTCTCAACGAACTTATCCATACAATCTTCGCCTCTGTATAAATAGGGCTCACTGCTTCCAGTGATGGCATTGACTACATTAATCATAAAACCACAAGGACGATGATTTTGATATGATGTGGTTGTCGCTTTTGTCGATTTGCTTTTAACATCAATGGGTACTGTTAGACATTCAAAGTCTGCATATATGACATAAGGCGCTTTCAGTTTCTTAAAATGATTCTTAAATTCAATCGTAGCTCCTACCTCCGGCATTTCTATTTGTTGTCCTTCAACCGCTAGACAGCCCTGTTCTTCGTGTTGTTTTAATAACTCTTCTGACTTGAAACCGTGTGAGCATGTCCTACAGTGATACTTTGGTCTGCCTGTTTTGTTGGTTTGGCTACCCATCAATTTGTTATAGTTCTTGATGTAGACATAGTGTGAGTTGCCATTTTCTCCAGTCAACTTTATTAAATCAATCTTTTGCTGTGCTTGGGAGTTGTTGCTTCTTTTGTATAATAAAATTGTTTTACTATTGGTATCAGGATTGATGTAATAAACATTGACCGATATGTGCTTGTTCTGTTCTTCAAATTGTTCAATCTCATCATTGCCTACAGGAAAGTTTATATTGTCCCACTTGATGAAACTATCATTAACATATTTTTTTTATAATGATACATATCACAGGGATGGTCTTTTTTGTATATCTCATAAAAACCACATTGAACAGAATATTTGAAACACAACTCATCATTGTTTTTTTAATATTGATACAAGCCTTTTTGTTTGCCACCCAGTCGGGCAATGGAATATAAGAAGAGCCACGGGTAGGATTGTATCTGTCATAACTTATCACCAGACTTTGAACTTGAAGAAGAA